TTTGATATAGGAGCTTGTAGGACCAATTTGATTTGCTTTGACCTCATGGCTAGGTTTGAGTAGAAAACTAGATTGTCGCTAGATGCTGAGGGTGAACTAACGGTGGTGGATGGGTCTAAGGGTGTTGGAGCACCTACATGAGTAGTTCCTTAGTTTTAGACTGTTAGCACTCCATAGCAGTGACCTAATCTTCTTTTTGAAGGTTGGCTTGGATGACGTCCAACCGATTGTCAATACCAACAACTTGATTAGTGAGAGTATAAACTTTGTTGGTGAGGATCTTGAGTTCGTCGCCTTCTTCAAAATAAAACCGGGTCTCTTTCTCCTAAGTCATTTTGTTGTGGGTCTTCTGTTGAGTTCCCGAGAGTGGTAGTCAAATTAATCCTTCCTGCAATCAGTCATCTTCATTATTGGGAAACCAAGTAGATATTCTAATGTGAGTGGGGTAGGGTGTAGCAATAAAGAGGTATAATGAAAGATGGTAGGTGGCTCTAGGAGAGGAGGAGGCAGAAGGAGTTCTGGGAAGCTTGAGGAAGACTAGGTTTTGGTTTGCTAGATCTTACGTTGGGATCTCTAAAAGACTGAGGTGAGGGGGGCTCTAGGTCTCCTCTATTTATAAACATGAGGCATATAAAGGAGGAAAACTTTCTTAAGTGGGAAAGTTTATTATTTTGTTATATATAACATAAACAAATGAGTGGGGTGTCACCACATGCCCATGCAGAGACATTGGGTCTAGGTTCCCATCCTTCTCCTCAAGATTCGCACGTGAGCACCATTGTAGCTACTACATTTTTCTAGAAGCTACCCTAATTATTTCTTTGAGATTTCTCGAGAACATCCAGTTGTTGGCATGACTTCGCAGTAGACAACCCATTTTTGCACCCTTTAGACTTTCTGTAGAACTTCGAGTTTCGAGCATGCTTCAGCTAACCTCTTAGCCGACCTGGGGCATTTTTGGAATTTTACAAAAACTGTGGCCTCAAGGATCCAAGACCATAAGCATGTAGATCCCAAAAATCCAAACCCGATGACACCATGATCACCCAAATCCGACACTGTTTACCCCATCATCTTAAGACTGGAAGTTGAAACCTATTTTGGTCGTTCGATTGGGTAATTTTGATCTTGAACCTCATATCACATCAAATCAGAAATCCAAAGAGGTACATAGATCCAAAAAAATCCAAATCTAATGGCATCAACACACATGAATTCGACACCGTTTACCCCTTCATCCTAAGACCCGAAGCCAAAACCGATTTTGATCATCCGATCGAAGTCATTTCGATCTTGAACTTCATCTCACATCAAATCAGAAATCCAAGACCTCCCCCATGAAATATGTAATCCAACCACATGGATTGATATAGTTCAAAATTCTGAGTCCAGCGATACCAAGATCGTCCAATTCCGACATCGTTAACCCCTCCATCTTGAGACCCAAAGCTAGACTCGATCTGAGCTTTCCGTTCAGATTCCTCTTCACTACAACTTCAAACCCAGGCATCCCACTACCAGAACTTCCTCCCAGCCTCTAGAACCATCTTAAGAATTCCAAGATTTGACCAGCTAGGAGCCTCTAATCAATCAAGCCAATCACCTAAATTTGGAATGTCCAATATAGGTAAATCGGTGAAATCTTCCACTTATTGTCTTGACTGATTGAGAGGATCTCTCTCAAAGCTGTCTTGACAATCCATTCTCTGAATCAATCTCCCTCCAAAAACTCTTTAAACCTGAGCCATTGATCTTCCTAGGCTCCCTATCTCAGCCCTCCATTCCCTTCTAGAACCCTTCACAAAAATCTATAAATGCCNCCCTTCTCACATTCTAGACACAATGAAGCCTAGAGAGATAACCCCTCACTCACTAGTCTAGACAACACCCCCTTTACGTCCCAAGCAGCTCCAACCATTGGCCCCTACCATTTCTCATGTCCCTAGAGTTTCCCATATTGGTATGCAATCCAAAAAATTCCTAGGTCATTCTTTCATCAATAGGGCAAGGTTGAAGCACGTTTGATTTTAAAAGAGTGTAGAAGAAGTCTTAATCATGCAGCAGCGTTCTACACCAATTGGGCCACATCTCTGGCTATGTGAACACCAACCTTGTTGATACATGTTAAAGATCACGGTTTTTTGGATTAAACAATGGGGAATGGGTTGTTTTCTTTTCTCGGTTATTCCAGATAAGATTACTCCCAACCTTTTAGTCTTTGTACCTTCATTGTTATGATAGTTATTCTACTAAGATAATTTCTTTTCTCAGGGTTATCTCATTTGAAGCAGTTGAAATGGGTTGACCCATTAGTCACCCGAAATATCGAATATCATTTTGATTAGAGATACAATTAGCAGCATTGTTTTCCTTTTAATTATTTACTTAATCAGTCTATTTATTCTTGATACTTCTCTTGGCGTTAAATATTTCAGCATTTTTTTCATGCTAGTTAAAACTTTATTAATTTTGAAAATGTTTTGCATGCTAAAAATCTTGGTAGGACACCTAGAATCTGCATGACCATACTCTTTTAGCAGCTTTTGTCTAGTTAAAACTTGATTAATTTCAGCATTTTCTTTCAACCCATTACCCTTAAACCAGCCTAGCACCCGATAAGTAATTATCTAGTTCAGCCCATTGTCCATCCACTTGACTAGAACTTTAGGCATTACATTTTACTTTATAACATTAGGTTGTACCTTGAAAGTTAAGTTGATATGGGGCACTGTCACTTAGGGAACTCTTATAGGCTTTCACATTGCATTCAGTATTTGTTTAGGTGCATGTTAAATTGAATCAACCCCATTTGCAATTAGTCCTTTTTTAACTCTCATTAGTAAATCATCTATTTACTTATTAACCTTAGTTTACCAATATTTTGTTATGCTCCTTCGAATACTCTTTAATCAATTAATTCATCATCTTTTGATAAATTAGATGTTTCAATTATTCTTCAATCTTTTTTCCTAAATGATGATTTCCTTTTTCTTTCTTTATTAGTTATTTCAATTAGTTTTAGAAATCTCCTTGCTTGGATCACATTTAATCTCTTTCCTTGGTCATTTGATGTTTTGGTTAAATTTGTTATTAGTTAGGTTGTTCATTAGTTACATTCTCTCATGTCTATTTTGTTAGTTAACCATTTGATGTACATGTCTAGTAATTTTACATCTTTCCACATAATTTGTCTTGGGATTGTGATGTTATCTCTAGCATTTGTTTGGAACAAAGTTGTCATTCCCCTTGTTCTTGTTATCCTAGTATTAGGACAAGTGGTATTCATGGTCTTGAAGTAAATTTTGTAAATTAACGCCACATTTTCTGATCTTGGTTTCATTTCAAAACCTTGGGTTTGCAGCCTCAAGGTTAAGGCTTTCCGGGGTCTGTTAGAGACACTATGAAATTGGGGAAGGCATTGAATATATGGGTCCTTGACTAAGGTTACCCTCAATCACTCCTATTAAGGAATCATTGAATTTATTATCTAGAATCTCTTAGACATGCTAAAGTAGTTGTTTAAAGTCTTAAGTGGGTCAAGGGTTTGATGTCTACCTGTACTAGGCCAAAATGAATGAAATGACATTCATCTCTTCTCTTATAGGCCTCTATTGTGTTTCAGTCTATAAGGTGGAAGTCTTTTGATTCATTGCCTAGTGCTATAACTCTTTCTATGGTTATTTTTTATGGGCAAGATCTTAGTTAGGGAAGAACTGATGCTACATTCTTTAGAACTATCATCTGAGTTAGATGTTGACCTAAATAATCTTCTCATTTTATCTTGCCACTTCACCTTCAACAATCAAATCAACTTCAATGACCTTTCAACAACTCTTTATGGCTGATTTCTCCGAAAAAGTTACAGTCTATGGGTTATAGCCAAAGCTTTTAGGTAGTATCCAATCAAAAGATATCTCTAAAGGTTGCAGGTTCAAATTTTAGGCCTACTATATTGGGACATAAAAAGTTATGAAAGAAATATGGACCTAGGGTCTTTGGATCAATGGATCAAGATCTCTGAAACCAAATGGAGTGGGGAGTGAGCAATAAAATTTGGGAAAGAAGAGCTAATAGCTAGTCCAATAAGAAGTTCTTATATAATAAAAGAAATAGAAAAGGTGATACTAGAACACTATTCCCAAATAATAGAACAAAATCATTAGAATAATTAAGTGCAAATAAAATGTTAATATAATATATCTAACATAATAATAGAATACTAACATATTAATTATTAAATAATTAGAAATTTATTTTAAAATAATAAAAAATAGAATAATAATAAAATGTAATAAAATAATACATAACATATAATAAAATATACTGATAAAAGAATAATATATTAATACAATATTCATAATTTAATGATAAATAATAAGATATTAATTATGGAATACTAATTAAATAATAATAACAAAGTAATAATAAAAAACAAAGATATTATTTATTGAATAATAATAATAGTAATAATAATAATAATAAAGTACAAATAGAATATGAATATAATATAATTAAATTAAGAATACAATATTGACATATTAAATATTAAATAGAAATAAGGTACGCTTAAAATAATAAACAAAAATAATAGAATAATAATAAACTAATAACAGAATAAAAATATAATAAAATAGTAAATCATTCATAAAATATAAAAATAAAAATATTTTTAAATTCATTATAGAATTATAATATATTAATATTTATAAATTAATAATAAATAGTAAGATATTAATTATTAAATACTAATAAAATAATAATAACAAATAACTAATAAAATGATAATTATATATTCATAAAATATTAATAAAGTAATAACAAAATATTAAATAAACTAATATAAAAATAAAAAATCAATTGATTTGATTCCAACTCCAAACAAACCAAACAAGAAAATTTGAAATATAAGATCAGCTTGAAAGGAGTATAAATGCAAATACCTTATATTTTGCTATGTATTTATACCGTACATATTTGCATTACCCTGTTGATATCTTATTTGCGACAAAGACCCACTAAACTTTCAGATTGTGACAACACCCCTCTCGAAAGAACACTTTTCATCGCCAAGATTCACTTTTCATCTTCTTCCCAAACACCGAACTCTCCGATCCCCGAACTAGAGCAGCGGCAGGGAGTTTCTTCGTCTCCCATTTCTCTCTCTTCATCCTCTCTTCGCCTATCGCCATTTTGTTTGGAGTTATGTTTTTTAAGGGTTTCATTCGGTAACCTTACCTATTTTTTTTTTTTTGGTTTCGTTTAATACTTTCCTTGACAAGCTCTTTGATACTTCTCCGAAAGTTAGCAACAATGACTTTGCCCATACATGAAAAGGATGGAGATAATCTCTCTGTTGATAAATACAACGTCGAAGCTTCGGAAATTCTAGCGAATGAAGCACAGGTTTAATGTTGTATTTTTTTTCTTTTGTTTTTCTTGGGTGCCAGGTGTTCTGTGTGTTTTAATTCATCAGTTTACATTGAATTTACACATTTTGATTTGGTATGTAGCATCTTCCGATTTCTGAGGCAACGCCGATATACGAGCAGCTTCTTTTGACATTTCCTACTGCTGTGAGCTCTTTTGCTTATTTTTGAAATCCTTCATTTTAATTGTTTGCTTATCAACTAAAAACCTCGATGTATTTTCCTTTTTCCCTGGCTTCTTGTATTTTCTTAGTTCTACTAATGGATGGCTGATGCAATGTATACTTGGCTGAAAGCATTTGTTGCACATGTTACTATACTTGTCTGACGGATATCACCTTTTGCTCCCTGATGTTGGTGTTGTACGATAAATTTGCATGCTACTTGCTTTTAACTATGATGTATAAAACTTGAAGCATGCATCACGCTGTGTCAGGTTATTTATCTTGTTTTGGCTGGTTGGTGATCAGGTTATTTAGGATGATCTTGAAAATTAATTTAAAGGTATAAATGTGAACAGTTATTTGCTCATGGTTGATATTTTTCACCTAGGTGATTGCATTGGTCGGAGAAAGTTTGCAGTTAGTAGAGATTCTTCTTGTTTATTCATGTCTTGTAGACTCAAATATCTTGATTAGAGCTGATAGTTTAGCTCTTATGCAGGGAATTAGACTGCATTGGGTCCAAATCATAGTTTCCAAATTACAGTTTACAGCGGTCATTCAAGTTATGGATCCCAAGGGTTATGATTAAATCATTTGGTTGAATCCATTTTTGAAAAAAAAAAGTCCTATGTTTATTATGTAAATCATACTAAATCAATTCATGATTTTTATAATTTCTGCAATTCATGGGATTTGAATCAATATGACTGGGACCTAATTCTGTACCTTGTCATTTCATTTGACAATTTTCTTTTCAACAAGTTTTTTTTTAGAATCCTTACTTGAATAATACCCATCACACAAGAGAAATAAAATAAAGTAAAATACATAGTATACAATCCTATCTACAATTCGGGCCCCTCAGGCATAGGAAGGGTCCTCAGGGACGAGGAAGGAGAAACATCGTAGCCTTATACTTGGGACCAACTGAACAAGGTGAAAGGGATGGTGGAATCCATCATATGGACGCCAAAATTGTTGCGGAATGGGTGGGCAAATTTAAAAAATTTCCTACATTCCTTTCAATTGGGAATCATATTCCCTGATTTTAGAATCAAGATTCAAGGATCCTACTTGAACCAGAACCGAACCAGATTTGAATCAAAAGAGAAGGGAGTGATTATACCTGATCCAGAGAAGTAATATCTCCCAAAGTTGGTGTTCACGCCCAAAGAAGACACCAAGATGAGCTCCCATTGAAGATGACACAGTGATGATGAAGCCGAACCAGCAGTGTTCGTCCCACGAACCAGGTTCTTCTGAAGAACTCGATGGAAGACTGTGAGCACCACAGTATAATCAAGAACCTTTCTTGATTTTCTCAAATTGAGAACTCAAACTGGCAGAAAAGGTGGCGGCTGCTGCTGGAGGAGAATGCTAGAGAAGAAGATGCCAAATTGTTATTTTCCTCTCTAGGGTTTCTGAGATCCTATCTCAAGAATGCAGAGAGAGCTCTTGAAAAACCTAGGGTTTGAATTCAAGTAATTCGAAATTAGGGTTTTTCCTCATCTTTCTTAATGATTAAGAAAACCTCCTAATCATATCAGGAGTTGCCCTTATCCAAATCTGTATTTGGATAAGAATTCTTCTTAATCTTATCTGTAGATTAGATCAGTTTTTGGGCTTAACCTAATCTCTGATCCGCCCCCTTAAGTGACTAATCAAATCAGCCCAGATCGAAATGGGATTTAGGCCCATTAAGTAATAAGTGCTCAATAGTCTTCCAAACTGCTGCTCAGTTGGGATTCTTTGTATGGCGTGGGACCCAAGCATTGATCTACACACCAGCCACATGGGTTCGGCCCAGCCTCTGTTATAAGGCCTAGCCGAATTCACTGGAAAGCCCAGTGAACCCCCTGAGCCCATCACATGGACCCCATGGGCCCAACACTTACACTAAGTGGTCCTTGGGCCAAGTCATCTCATAAAAACCCAGGGACTGTGGGCAGATGCAAGATTAGCCCATCATGTATTATCCTAAATGGCCTTACACTTAACCTCTCAGCCCATAATGATCAAGCACTGCCCGACAAGAGAGGACCTCTTCCTCGGCTGCAAGGAACAGTGTTACACTCTCTACTCACATGGATCCTGGGAATTAAAACCATTTGCAAACATTTTGAAACCATACATATCTATAAATTTTGCAAAACAAAATTTCAACGATTGAAATGCAGTTTGGTTTCCATCGGAGAGAGTGTATCCCCGATCATTACCTTTGTCCGACAAAAGGGCTTATCCCGTCACTATGATCACCCACTCAGATGAATTCTCAGACTGTCCCAACATACCCAGGTTTTGACCCCTACTAAGGATCTCACTAATTGGCATATCAAAGACAGCCCGATCCGACACCTAGTGCAGTACCATAATCGGGTCTAGGGGTCAGGTGTAACTTTCCAGTTTTGCCCATCAATCTCCAAGGTCTAGGGCAATACTGGAAATCTGGTCCGGTTCAAGGGTTCAAGTAATCCTACACTGCGTGTGCCTTGGGTCTCACCCTGGCAACTGAGACAAGCCACCCCAACAGTTGGCAACACACCAGTGTCAGCCTTGGCAGGATAAATCTCCCCAGACTTATCCAATGGCTGTGAACATTTAAAATTAACACAAGTCTCAATAAGTGTCCAGTTTTAAGGTCTTACACAGAAGCATACCACACAACATGAATCAAACATGTACTTTATTTATTTACATTAAATATCAAAAGTACATCAAAAAATGATTGAAGCTAAGGGCATACAAAAACTGTCAAACACAAGGTGATGTGGTTAGACTAGAGGTATTGGCTGCAGTATATGGGGTTGAGAAGGTCAAAGATATGGGTATTGATAGACTGATCATTGAGGGTGATTCAAGAACTTGTGAACTGGCTGAAGAAGGGGGATAGGGTGCCATGGCATCTAAGAAATGAATTCAGGTGATTTAAATGGCTCTCAAAAGACATGACAATCCAAGTTAAAATGGGTTAGGAGAACTGCCTACAGTCTGGTAGATGGTTTAGCTAAGCAAGGGGTGCAAAGAATTTCCATGTATTGGGCTAAATTGTAATTCTTGGGTTGGGTCAGCATTTTTTGAAGCTGTGTTTTTCTCTTTTTCCACAACCTCTTGTTGTAATTTTTGTTTTCTATTATTAATGAAATCATTTCTGTGTTGCTGATCAAAAAGAAAAAAAAAGAAGAAACAAAAAAGCAACCTGAATACTTAGACACACTAGCAGCAAGGTTTTTCTCAAACTCCATAGTGAACACTGCCTGGCCTCCCTTTCAACTTTCTAGTGAGCTGGTTCTGTGTACCCTCTATGCACCCACTTATACATCCCTATGGAATTTTCATTTCCTTGAGTATGAACAAGAAAGAAAGTTTACCATTACTGTGTGTCAACTTTTCTGAAGCTTGGTGTGCATGATTATCTGTTTCAATCTCATAATTGGAAATTCAAATCCTTACTTGTTTCTGGATAATGGTCTATGATATTTCTTTTATTCTTTTTTTAAAGTAGCATGTTTTACATGGGTGAATTATCTTATCTTTTTGCAGGCAAAATACTGGAAACAGTATGTAGAAGCACAGATGGCTGTGAATAATGATGATGCAACTAAACAAATATTCAGTCGATGTTTATTGAACTGCCTTCAGATATCTCTTTGGTATAACCTTCTTTACTATAACGCAAATCAGATTAGCCAATGTCATTTACTTGCTTTACTGTTCTTTAAATATCAAGAGAGAGAAAGAGAGATACAGAAAGTGGGGGTGGGGGAGAAGAAAGATGTTAATACTGCAAAACCCCTGGCAAACAACCAGCATACTGTGACTCCCCAGAAAGAGATACCAGATTAGCAACCAGAAACACTAATACCAATTGATTTTTTGATCCCCTGACTCAACAAATGGTATTATTTTCACTACACCCAACTCCATGTAGATGTAGAGGTTTGAACTCTGGATGAAGAACTTGGGGACAGGCCACCATCTTGGTCTCCTACCTCAGTCACTACATTTTGTTGTGGGGAAGGGTTGCAAGCTTGTTTGTAATGGACAAACCTACATTCTTACACTTGCCAGTGTGAGATTTGACCATTACACCAAGTAATGGACAAAAGGGCAATAGTATATACAAAATATAATATATAACATAAAAAGAGAAGAACCAAAACAAAACATTAAATCCTTTCTTCTTTTTCTTCTAGATGTGGGGAATCTCTCCCCACTATAGGGATGCTTGGCATCTTGTACACAAAAATTTTCTGTTATCTATAAAAAAACATTAGATCCTTTCTTCGTTATGCACTACGTTTACTAGTTATGATGTTAACATCTGCTCATCTGCTTTATAGTTATAGATGGTATTCCATTGTTTTCTGTACTCTGTTTTTTATTTATTTTCAATTCTCTAGGCGGTGCTACATACGTTTCATCAGGAAAGTCAATGAGAAAAAGGGAGCAGAGGGTCTGGAGGAGACTAGGAAGGCTTTTGATTTTATGTTGAACTATGTTGGTATGTATCAGGTTTATGCTCTCTTGGATGACTATTTTCTTACTCTGTTTCTTATTTGCTATAAGCAGCTTGTTATGCTTGCATCAATGCTATATATCCTGGATAAAAAAAACTATATTAAAAATTGGTGTTAAAACATGCCTTTCCACATGTAGATCATTCGGGCATCTGTGATCTGTATCCATCCAAAAGCAAAGAAGAAAGATGGGATTTTCAAAACTTCTAATTTGTGATAATAGGGATATTTTGGTAATTTTATGCATGGTTAGTAACATTGGCAAGATTTGGTGAAATATATCCCCATTTTGCTTGGGATGATATGAAGTTTTCTAAGTAATATAGCCTAAATTGCCCATCAAATCAAATATGGACACATGGCATGCTCAAGGGGCAACCTTGTCATTGTACGGGTTTCGGAGGGTAATTCTGACATTTCTCCCTTTGACTTGATGAGGAGCCATGATGGCAGACGTTACAACCTCGGCCCACCCTTTGCTATAGTAATGATAGAATAACGCTCGGCCATGTGGTTGCTACCTTAATGGCGTTGGCCTTAATGATGCCCGACGTGTGAAGCCATTACAAAGAGGCCATTATGTTGCTTCTAGGAGGGACCTCACCTATAAGTACGGATAACCGACCACAAGTAACTTCTCTTACACACTCTTGTTTTCCTATTTACTCTTGTCCTCCTTTCACTTCGACACCTTGACACCTTGACTCTTTGAGACCTTGGCTAACATAATAGTTGGAGTCCTCGCCCTTGGAACCACATCGGAATTCCAAGACTGTCATCACAGTTAACTTTACTGACATCAATTGGCACTGCCTTTGGGATACAATTACAATAAAATTCCACTTCCAATTACTATGCCCAATCATATAACTCTAGGATAGGAAACAACTCTCCCCCTTCTGTACCCCAAAATCATATCATGAAGGAGCAATTCCAATAGTTGATGCAGCGAGTGGCCTTCCTCGCCAACCAAGTTCATAATTTGCAGTAACTAATGGGAGGCCAATCTCTACACAACTGTCTCAGTAACACTCACGACTACCTTGGTAGGAGGTCAGTTGGCCCTTCGTTGAGTCAGTGCCTTGGAAGCAACACCAAGGATGACTTTTCCGAGGCTAACAATAGTAACTGCTTAGGAAGCTAACAATGCCAACAATAGTTCCTTGGAAGCCACACTAGTCGCCCCATTGGCCATTGCCAGGCAACAAAGGAACACAAATGAAAATAGGGATCAAGCTACACCTAGCCATTGCAATCCGAAGCCATATCCTTACGTAGGCCAGGAAGCAGGTGAAGGGATGGGATATCCATCATATGGATGGCTGAACCCTACAGGAAGGGCGAAATTTCAAAAATTTCTTTTCTCCCATCCGGGAATCGTATTCCCAATTTAGAAAGCTGCATTTTCAAGGTTCGTTCTTGTAACTAAACCAGACCAAATCTGAAACCAAGATTAGGGAGAGGTATACCTGATACGGAATCCATGCAAAAATGCTCCTCCCAACGCAGGTGTTGACGCCCAAAGAGTACCAAATCCTCCCTCCACTGAAAATGACATAATTTAGGATAAGGTAGGAGTAGTAGGTAGTTCTTCACCATGAACTTTTGATTCTTTAGCAAGAATCAAATGGGTTAGTGAGCACAACTTTAGAATTGTTTCTTCTAGCAAGAAATAGTATTAAGATCTAATGTTGACCAGTTCCAAGAAATGGAGATCAAACAGGGTAGGGCGGCAAGAGCATGGAGAGAAAGAACTGAAGGCAGAAACAGTCAAACTGTGTTGTCTTCTGTGTGTTTTTTCAAATCCGCCCTGCTCTTTATATATAGCCTTAAAGAGATAATCTCCTAACCTGATTAGGAGTTTCTTGATTCAAATCTTTATTTGGATTTGAACTCTTTAAAGTGATAAGGATAATCCCTTATCTTATCTGTAGATCAATATCAGCTACTTCTAATCAAATTAGAAGTTTCCTAATCCAAATCTCTATTTGGATTTGGACTCTTTAAGTGGATAAGAGTTATCCCCTTATCCTTATCTACTGATCCATACTCAGATTCGCCCCTATTTAATTAATCAAATTAATTCAGTTCGAAATGGGCTTTAGGCCCATTAAGCTTTTAGGCTCACTTCCTTTTTAATGCTGGCTAGCTTGGCTCTCTTTGTATGATGTGGGACCCTATTATTGATCTACACATCAGCCACATGGGTTCAACCTAGCCTTTGTTACAAGGCCTGGCCGAATTTACTGCTGAAAACAGTGAACCCCTGAGTCTATCACCATGGGCTTTTAACGGGCCCAACATTTACACTAAATGGTCCTTAGGTCCAGCCATCTTATGAAGGCCCAAGGACTATGGGCAGATGCAAGATTAGCCCACCGGGTATAACCCTCAATGGTCTTACACTTAACCTCTCAGCCTTTAATGATCAAACACTGCCCGACAAGAGAGGACCTCTCCCTCGGGTGCAAGGTGCAGTGCTGCACTCTCTACTCACATGGATCCTAGGAATTAAAACGTTTTGCAAACAATTTGAAACCATAATATATATATATATATAATATATGTATGTATGTATGTATGTATGTATGTATTTCTCTATATAAATATATTTTGCAAAAACAAATTTCAAACACATTTGAAATCCACTGTTGGCAGTTTAGGTTTCCATCAGAGAGAGTGCATTCCTCAATCATTCACTTTGTCCGACAAAGGGGCTGATCCTGTCACTATGATCACCCACTCAGGTGAATTCTCGGACTGTCTCAACATACCTAGGTTTTAACCCTCTCTAAGGATCTCACTGATTGGCATATCAAAGACAGCCCAATCCAACACCTAGCGCAGTACCATAATCGAGTTTAGGGGTCAGGTGTAACATTCCAGTTTTGCCCATTTATCTCCAAGGTCCAGGGCAATACTGGAATTTGGTCCGGTTCAGGGTTTCAAGAAAATCCACACTGCATGTACCTCAGGTCACACCCTGGCAGCTGAAACAAGCTACCCTGACACATGAGTGTCAGCCTTGGTAGGATAAATCTCCCCAGATCTATCCAACGACTGTGAAGATTCTAAACTAACATGAGTTTCATAAGTGTCCAGTTTAATGGTGTTACACAGAAACACACCATAATAACATGAATCAATTATGCACTTTATTCATTTACTATAAATGACAATAAGTACATCAATCTGATTGGAGCTAAGGGCATACACTGTCTAATAGCAGGAGTTCATTCGATGGACCTCCAAGATAAAGAAGAACCCCAAAATAGAGGAACCGATACAAGTACTGTAAGTATCACCATGACATTAGCCATGACACAGATGAATGCCGCCATTTGAAAACTGAAATTGAGACTCTCATAAGGGATACCCGAAGGACTTTGCCTTGAAGGATCAGCCAACTAGAACAACTTTGGAGTCGGTCGATCTCCCAACAAATAGACTCCTGGTTAGTGTCATCAACATTATTTTTGGAGGTACAACATCAAGTGGAGAAAGCTCCTCTGCTAAAAAGGCATACACCTGACAACTCCAGATCAGACACATGCTCAGAAGAAAGCTAAGTCAGAAAGGTCATCACCTTTTGTGATGATGATTGGTAGGGGGTCATCACTAGGGGTGGATTCAAGCTGAGCCAAGCCAAATATTTGTTTATTTGAGCTTGTGAATAGCTCGACTCGTTTCCACCCATAGTCATCACCCCCCATGACGACACATTGTTCGTTTTGGTAATAAACAAAAAAGAATTTATAATAATAGAGAAAAGTACATTTGATAGTGATGAGAGATCTCTAGAAAAAACAAAACTACAAGGAGAGCTGAAACAAAACATAGAGGAGACATTGAAAGAAGAAAGGAGAAATACATAAATCAAATAGAAGGGAAACTGTTAAGCCAACTACAGAATGTTCCGAAAACCAGAACCAAGGTCTTCTTTTGTGATTCCTTCAAACTCTGGATGAATGAGAACCCAATTCATAATTCCTTTGCAGCATAGCATTGAGATATGCTCCCTTGATTGAGCCTTTTCTTCAAATATTCTTCTATTTCTTTCCAAACTTCCCAGTAGACAACAAAAGGAATGCAGCTCCAGGCGATCTTTGCCTTGATATTTCCCCTTACTATTGGCCATTTGGAGAAAATCTCCACAGAATTGGGAGACCACCCACCAGACTTGAAGAGCCCAAAGAAAAGCCCCAGAAGAACTTGGAGAACAGACACTCAACAAACAAATGATATACATTCTCCTCAGCGTTCTCACAGAGATAGCATCTGCTAGCCTGGTGAAAACCTCTGTTTTGAAGATGGTTTATTGTCAAAATGCTATTCATCACCACTAGCCAAGCAAAAGCTTCCACCCTATGGGGGACAAGATTTCCCCAAATGCCTTTCAATTCTGCATTTTCTCCAATTGGCCTTGATAAATCCTTGTAGAAAGATTTGACTGGAAATAGTCCATTTCTAGCTTCTTTCTACCATCTTGAATCCTTCCTTTCCACTTGAGTTTTAGTTGATTGGAGTTTTGCCAGAAGATCCCCACACCTCATGAATTTCCTAATCAAAGAGAGATCTCCTAAATTTTGCACACCATACTTCTCTACCTTGATTGACTAAAAAATTCTCTACAATAGAGCTATTTTTCATGCCTAGCCTATATAGATGAGAGCAAAGATCACACAGCTTTCCAATACCCTGCCAATCATCTTCCCAAAATTTGATTGTTGTACTATCACCAACCTTGAAGGACACAAGATTGAGAAAAGTTGACTTGAATCACATAATCCCTTTGCACACGCTAGCTCCATAAGATGACTTTACTTCTTGGGAATCCTACTCGAAACAAATAACCCCATATTTACAAGCCACCACCCTTCTCCAAAGTACCTCCCTCTCCAATCCAAACCTCCACAGCCATTTCCATAAAGGAGCTTTATTGAAAATCTTCAATCTCCTTATCCCCAACCCCCATCTTTCTTTTCTTTGCAGAAGTGGAACTTCTTTTCAATCCCTTTAAGTTCCCATAAAAACTCCTTTTGCAATTTTTCAATTGAGTTTATTATAGAAACTGGAACCTTTAAAAGTGAAAGGCAATATTGCCAGAAGATTGGATAGCATACTCTTTATAAGAGTAATCCTTCCACCAAGAGATAGATACATACCCTTCCATCCTGCCAGTCTTTGGTCCATCCTTTCAAGAACCGTTTACCAAGTCGAAGAGATTGAACCTTTTGTCCCAGTAGGGAGTCCCAAGTAAGTAAAAGGGAAATCCCCCACCAAACAACCCAAAGCTGTTGCACAATCCTCCAAAAGAGATTTTGGGATATCTTCCACCCTAATCATCACACTTCTTCAAATTAATTTTTTTACCTACCAAACACTTCATAAAATCTGAGAATCTCTTTTAAATTCAGCACTTGCACAGTGGACTCATCCAAGAATATCTAAGTATCATCTGTAAGCTGAAGATGAGTAATGGAAACCTCATTTTTGCATGCTTTAAACCCTTCAAACATCCCAGCCTATGCTCCTTTACATAATAAGCAGCTTGCAACTTTTGCCACCAAAACAAACAACAAAGGTGTCAACATATCTCCCTATCTCAAGCCCCTTTGGGCTTGAAAAAATGTGTGAATATACCATTGACAAGAACTGAAAAAGAAACCGAAGAAATACACATAAACATCCAGCTTCTCCACCTTCCCCCAAAGCCCATCCTTGCCAGGATATCTTCCAGAAACCCCAATCTACATGATCTAAGCCTTCTCAATGTCAAATTTGCAAACTAAACCTTGTCCACTTTTCAGTCAGTCTTGAGTCAACACATTCACTCGCAATCATCATCACCCTATCAAGAATTTGCCTGCCTTCCACAAAGGCCATTTGGGTTGGTCCCACAACCTCATGCAAGACAGATCTTAATCTTCTAGATAGTGCCTTAACAATTACTTTGTAGGGACTTTAGATCAAACTGATTGGTCTGAAGTCCTTTACTCTAGATGCCCCTTTGACTTTTGGAATTAGAGATATAAAAGTTGCATTTGCACTCTTCTCAATGATCTTTTCCTACCAAAATTCATTCATCATCCTGAAAACATCCTCTTTTATCACATCCCAACAGCTCTTGCAGAAAGAGATATTGAAACCATCTAGCCTTGGAGCCTTGTCACTCTTCATAATATTTACTGCTTTCTAAACTTCTTTATCATCAAACTCTCTCCAATCAGTCCCTTAGATCCTCCCCAAACCTTCCCAGATCTACATCACCTAGGAAAACCTTTCTACTTGGGGTAGCCTTGTACAAATTGATATAGAAATTTCTAATTTCCTCCATCACTTCTTTTGAGTCATCAATAATTCTGTTTTCCTCCAATCTAGAGATGAAGTTCTTCCTCCTCCTACCCCATGTTTGAGCATGAAAGAAGGCAGTATTCCTGTCTCCTTCTTTTAGCCAAATTGCTCTTGATTTCTACGTCAACATAATTTCTTCCATATGAATCATTTCTAATAATTCCCCTCTTACACTCTCCTTCTGCCTTTTGCCTTCCCTAGAAAAAACATCCCTTTCCTCTAGTCTCTCCAAATCTACCATTTTTCTGAGCAACTCAGCTTTTTTGAATGAAATGTTCCTGAAGGCTTCTCTGTTCCAATCTTTTAAGTCCTCCCTTAGGGCCATCAGCGTTCTCATCAAAATGAAACCTGCCCTTCCTTCATAATGATAACTCCTCCATTTCTCTTCCACAAAGGCCACAAAAAGAGGGTGTTTAAGCCACATATTTTCAAATCTAAAAGGTTTTGGCCCATTAAGTTTGAGAGAAATTTTCTCAAAAGAATCAGCTTATGATCAGATAAGGCAAAGGCCAGAGTTTCCTGAACCAAGTCTGAGAAAAAGTCCTGCCACTCTCCATTAAAAAGAAATCTATGCAATCTCCTTAGGATAGGTGGATTTTGGCCATTTGACCACGTGTAGCCTGATCCCAGCTTGATACAATCAATCAACCCATTCCTTCTGACAAACTCACTGAAGCTCCCCATAGCCCTGGTTTGATTGTGATACACTCCAAAATTGTTTTCATGCTTCTCTCTTCTTCATTGGAAATTCTTGCCCTCCTCTCTTCCCAAACTGTCCATAATATAGTGGCCCTGGTACATCTCCACTAGGAGTGCAATCAAGCTGAGCCGAGCTGAACTTTGGCATGTCTTGGCTCGAATCGACTAAAATATTACTAGGTTCGAGTTCGAGTTTGGCTCGAAATATATTTTCCGGCTTGAGCTCGAGTTAAATATTCAACGAGCTCGAATTTGGCTCGAAAGCTCGAAAAAAATATTTGTATATTATATATGATATTTATTATAAAATATATAGTATATTTTGATAAAATTCCTAATCAGTACCCTGTACTTTGGCTCAAGTGACAATTTGGTCCTCGAACTTTAAAATGCGACAATTCAGTACCCGAACTTTCAAAATGTGACAATTCAGTACCCGAACTTTCAAAATGTGACAATCCAGTACCTGCCGTCAACCATTCTGTCAACCAGCCGTTAAGTGACACTTGAAAAGTAAAAAATGCCCTAAGAATGCCATCTAATTCTCTTTATCAACCATCCAAACATTGACAATAAAATGAACAGTCCCAAATTCTAGATTATTCTAAACAGTCACCAACTTTTCTGAATAGAAGAGGCTAGGATTTGGAACTGTTCAGTTTTTCGTCAATGTTTGGATGGTTTGTAAAGAGAATTAGATGGCATTTGAAGGGCATTTTTGACTTTTCAAATGTCACTTAACGGCTGATTAACGGACTGGTTAACGGCAGGTACTGAATTGCCACATTTTGAAAGTTTGGGTACTGGATTGTCACATTTTGAAAGTTTGGGTATTGGAATGTCGCATTTTAAAGTTTGGGGCCAAATTGTCACTTGAGCCAAAGTACAGGGTACTGATTGGGAATTTTCCTTAAAAATATTTTTATATTCTATATTATATATGTATGTATGTGTTAATTGAGCCAAGCTCGCAAGCTTTCGGGCCAAACTTTTTATTGGTTGAGCTCGTGCTTGAATAACTAATCGAGCTTACTCCAAGATTCAAACTTGTTTCGAGCTCAATTAGAGTCCAACTCGAATTGAGCCTAATCGAATTCGAGCCCAAACTATTTGATTAGAGCTCGATTCAATTGCTGCCTTAATCTCCACATTAATCTCTCTCTTCTCCTCAACCACTTGAAGGTTTCAGGCTTTCAGCCTCGAATACTCACCAACTTGTAGACAGTCCACCTGAATCCAAAGAGAGAAAAGAACTAATCCCAAATAATGTTAACAAATGGATAGGGGATTAGTAGGTGGTAACCGGTTTTACCATTTGTGAGCTTGTAAATGTATGACTGAAGGTAGCAAATGTTTACCAAGCCAAGTTGATGCGGATGCATGAGTGAAGCACCATATAATTTTTCTGATCTATGGAAAACACAACTAATATGAGTAAACATTTTAGATTGGTGACTAATGGACCTTGGAATGGTAACTTCTTGCTAAAGGAGGAGAAAAAGAAGATTTTGTTTGTGTTGCAAGATATAAAACATAAGGATGAAACTAAGAGAGACTGAGAGGGATTTATTATGTTAAAAAATGGAATATTGAATATCAGGAAAAAAAGAGTAAAAAACATTGGCTGTAGTCCTGTAACCATACAAAGCTTAAATACTGTTTTAATGAAACTGCTTTTAGTAACTTGCAATTATCTATAAATTCTTTTCTTGTTGATTGTGCTTCTAGGAACCGACATTGCATCTGGCCCTCTATGGATGGAATACATTGCATTTTTGAAGTCCTTACCGGTCTGTTCTTCATTCCTTGTTTCTTTTCTGCTTGTCATTTTTGGGTAGCCAGATGGTGGATTCTTTAATTTTTTTTATCCCTCTTTATTTTCTTAGAAGTTTCTTGTTGGCAGGCTTCAACTGCCCAGGAAGAGTCACAGAGGATGACTTCAGTGCGGAAGGCTTACCAAAAAGCTATAGTAACTCCTACACATCATGTAGAACAACTTTGGAAGGATTATGAAAACTTTGAAAACTCTGTTAGCCGAGCATTGGTAAGTTGTCTTAATTTTAAATATCCTGTTAGATTTGAACATTTCTTTTTTGAAAAGCAAAGTCAATTTATCAAAATTTGGAAAAGCAAAAATATAAAAGAGGCATCTATGCAGGACTGCTCAGACATCATCAACTGAGAATCATGGCAAATCACATGGCCTCAATTAAGGGGCAGTTTTATAACTGCTGAACCGATTCGCTTGTTGGTTTGAATTTTAATGGATAATATAGTAATGCAATGGAACATATAAGGTAATGTAGTTATCTCCATATGCCATTCAGAAGTTAATGAGCTCACACCCTACTTAATTCTATGGATTGTAGTAGTTATCTCCACATGCCATTCAGAAGTATCGGGTGCCTCGATACTTTGAACGTTGCTCTCAAGAGCTAAACATAAGCACCCCAAGCTCATACTTCTATGGATTGGAGTCCTTTTGCTTTTCTACTATAGATAAAGTCTCTTTTTGAATTTCAAGTTTCAACTGACATTAGGTTTGCTTATTTTTACTCAATAAAAGAAACTTTTTATTGGTGACCAGATGGATGAAAAACTTGAAGATCGAGGTTAAGTAATTCATGTTTGAAGAAACATGGACAAAGGTAGACATGACTTTGAAGATCTGACAGGTGAGGAGGGCATTGGTGATACTGGTAGGAAACACAACCTTGTGGTTTTCAGGGTATATTGGAAGGAGCTATACATATCAACCGGATGAGTTAATGGAAGAACTCAATGTACAAAGGTCGACTAAGATACAATATAGAGAGGACCAATAAGAAAGATTCATGGAATTACATGAATGTTATGGTGAAGGAAAGAGACATCTGACTTGCTTTCTGTAAGGTAGAAAACAATAGATGGAGTTCAGTATTAGAGGTGAGAGCTGAGGAACGAATTGGAGGATATTTTATTCAAAGAGGAAATTAGTATCCTTCAACAAAATGAGATTGCCTAGGCTTTTCTGGACCATTTTAAATCCATTTTTAAAAAGCCTTTGGAGGATAGAATTTGGGTTGGCCTAAGTTGGAGGAGTCAAAGGGTGGTTGGAAAGAAGGTTTGATATGGATGAAATTAAGATGCTAGTCTTTTCTATGGATAGAGTTAAGGCCCCTGGTCCATATGGTTTTACAATGGCATTCTACCAAGATTGTTGTGAGTTTTTAAAACATGACATTAAAAAGTTGTTTGATGAATTCTTTGAGAGGGGGGTGATAAATCCATGCCTCAATTCTACTTTCATTGCTCTGGTTCCTAAGAAAGAGGCCTTACACCCCAAGGACTTTTGGCCAATCAGCTTGGTGAATAGCCTATACAAGATCATTGCTAAAGTGCTTTCTCGAAGGATTAAGGTAGTGCTACCTTCCATAATTTAAAGTCTCAAGGGGCCTTTGTTAAGGATAGACAAATAATTGATCAGATTCTAGGGGTGAGCATTATTCGGTTAAAACCGAATTACCGAACCGAAAATTTCGGTTTTGGTTTTTGGGTAATTCGGTTCGGTTAATTCGGTTTTTAGCAATTTTGGTTTTCGGTTTCATTTTTTAGATTTAGAAATTCGGTTAACCGAAACCAAATTAACTAAAATTCATTATATAATATATAATAAACAATATATAATATGCTATATATTTATATATTAATATATTATATATAATGTATTATAATGAAATTAAATTTCATAATATATATATTATAGGTTATAATATATAATATATAATATTATAATATTAATTAATGAAATTAAATTTCATAATATATATATTATAGGTTATAATATAATATATTAATATATTATATATAATGTATTATAACGAAATAACTGAAAACTGAACCGAAAATTCCAGTTCGTTTATTTCGGTTTTATTGTAATTCAATTTCGGTTTTGGTTTTCATTTTTTATTTTTGTTTTAAAAATTTTGGTTTATTCGGTTAAAAACAAAACTGAATAAACCGAATGCTCACCCCTATCAGATTCTAATCACCAATGAAAGTGTGGAGGAAATGAAGAGGGCGGGGAAGAAAGGGTTTGTTTGTAAGTTGGATCTAGAAAAGGCGTATGATTTAGTTGATTGGGGCTTCTTGTTGGAGGTAATGAAAGGTTTTGGCTTTGGCAATAGATGGTGAAAATGGATATTGGGATGCATTAAGACCTGTCATTATTCAATATTGGTCAATGGAATAGTGGTGGATCATTTCCAATCTATCAGAGGGATTAGACAAGGGGATCTTCTCTTTCCGTTTCTCCTCACTTTGATTGCAGATGTCTTTGGGAGACTTGTAGACAGAGTTGATTCTAGAAGACTAATTAGGGGTTGGCGGGTGGGAAGAGATGAGGTTCCTATTACTCACCTACAATTTGCTGATGACACCATCCGTTTTTGTGAAAAGGGTGACATTAGATGGGTGAGAAGTTTGAAGATGGTTGTATTACTATTTGAAAGATTGTCAACATGAAAATTAACTTTGAGAAGAGCTGCATTGTGGGATTGAATATGGAGGATAAGGAGATTACTGAATTTGCAGGAGTCCTTGGTTGTTCTATTGGTCAATGGCCTATGTCTAGGAGTCCTTGGTTGTTCTGTTGGTCAATGGCCTATGCCTAGGAGTCCTTGGTTGTTCTGTTGGTCAATGGCCTATGCCTTATTTGGGGTTACCACTAGGGGATAATCCTAGGAGTGGCAACTTTTGGAACCTTCTAATTGACCGCTTCACTAAGAGATTGGCCTTGTGGAAGAGCAATTATCTATCCCTTGGTGGTAGAATCACTTTGATTAAATCCACACTTGCTAACTTGCCGGTGTATTTTCTGTCAGTTTTTAGGATTCCAGGTGGGGTTTGTAGGAGGCTAGAGAAGCTGATGAGGGATTTTTAATGGGAGCCTAGGGAGGAGAAGAAGGATCATAGAGTGAGTTGGGAAGTTGTGTGTAGAAGCAAGAAGTATGGAGGATTATGTCTCGGAAGTATACAGGAGAGGAATACGACATTGTTAGGAAAGTGGTTGTGGAAATTCCCTTGTGATAGAGACAAGTTGTGGGCAAAGGTGATCATTAGTATACATTGGCTTGTGACTGACGGATGTGACTTTGGCACTTAAGTTCGTGCTACAAGAGCTTCTCCTTGGAATTCCATTTGCGACATCCTCCCTTCTTTCCTTTGTCATATTGTATAGTCCTGGGTCTGGATCTCTCATAAAGTTTTGGGATCATGTTTGGGTGGGCAATTTACCTTTAAAGACACATTTCCCCTCACTTTATGCCTTATCCAATTGTAGGGAGGAACCCATTTCTTTTGTGGTCCATTCTACTATTTATGGTGTTGTTTGGGACTTGGGATTCATAAGGGGTCTATGAGAGCCTGAAATTACAAGTGTTATTATTGGCTTGCTTCAAAACCTTGACGGGGTGGTATGCTTGGATGTTTCAAGAAGGGATAGGAGAATATGGACTTTGTCCCCTTCCAGTTCCTTTTCTTGTGCCTTTTTTTTTCTTACCTTATACAACCTAGAGATAGTTAAGGTTTGTCCTTTCTAGTGAAGGAGGTTAGGAGCACACCCATTCCGCATAGGGTGGGTGGTTTTTGCTAGGAAGTTTATTTAGAGAGAATTAATACTTGTGAATTAATGCAAAGGAAAAGACCTAATTGGTGTCTTTCCCCTCATTGGTGTTCTCTTTGTACGGTTAATGGTGAGAATTGCTTTCACTTACTAATCTCTTGCCCTCTTTCTTCTTCAATTTGGGAATGGTTCTTTTCTTTGTTTGGATGCAGGTGGAACCCTCCATCAAATGCACAAAGCCTGTTCGCCTCTACTTTCCTCAGTTGGTCAAAGAAGAGGGGCAGAATATTATGGAAATGCACGAGAGCGGTAGTTTGTTGGACAATTTGGGAAGAAAGGAATCATAGAATCTTTCTTGACAAAGAAAGAAGCAGAGACACTATTGTTGAAGCCATTCTTATTAGAGTTCTCCATAGGGTGAAGACATTGGATCTCTTCAAGAATATTGTTGCGATGATTTATTGAGAAAATGGAGGGAGGTGGCTGGTTCTTCTCCTCTTAGGGAGGTTACTAGACCTAGTTGGTCCTCCCTATCCCAAGGTGTCGTTAAGCTTAATTTCGACGATAGTAGTGAAGGTAATCTGGGTCCTTCTGGAATCAGAGGTCCCTTAAGAGACGAGGAAGGAAAATCATTGCTATTTATTTTGGACTGATCGGAATTGGTGATTCTTTGAGAGCGGAGATCATGGTGGTGGTAGAAGGTGTCCAAAGGGCTAGAGAGCTGAACGTTAGGAAGCTTACCATTGAGGGTGACTTGAAGCTTGTGGTTGAGTGGCTCCAAGGTGAAGAAGAGGGATGGTGGTCCTATATCTTTGAAAAAAGAAAAGTTTTGAGATTGTTTCAGGGGATGGAGGTGAACTTCAAATGGGTGAGAAGGGATGCCACTGTACTTGCTGACACTCTTGCTAAACAAGGGGTGGGAGGGGATAGTTTGTTTTGGGCTGTTTTGTAATAGCTTCTTTCTTTGGGGAGGGCTAAGAGAGTTATCTCTCCAATTATCAAAAAAAGAGAGTTTATCTCTCCCCTTGTTATTCTTGTACCCAGTTTCCCCTTCTCAATTAACAAAATTGGTTATGTTATTAAAAAAAAAAACAATTTTGGTAGAAAGTTGGAGCGCTCCAGCTAATCCCAGGTGCACAGTTTTAAACTTTGGCCCAAAACAAATGGTCCCTATTTACCCCCTGTTTTGCTAATACATCGGCCATTCCATTTGCTGCCTATCTCCCCGAACATGTGCCTGTTACTCCAAGGTGCTGAATTTATTTGTCTTCTCCAAAATATGATCAGTTTTAAATCCTCTTCCACTTCCAAATCTCTGGGCTCTTTTATAACTGTTTTTTTTTTTCTTTCTTTTGAATGTTTTTCTGCACTCTTGAGGAGTTAACCTCTTGTGTTAATGAAATGTTCCTGTTATTGATCAGAAAAAAAAAAACCAATTAGTCCTGAATAGATGGCCTCCACCATGCCTAGGTGATTCCTGAACAAACTCCCTATGCCTGCCCTCCCTAGATTTCCCTTAGAACTGCAAAGTTTGGTTTGATTTTGTTTTCATCTAGGATTTTCAATCCATAATCACATTGTCTCTCCTTTTATCTGTTGTACCACCGCTAACCAAGATCTTACTTTCTCATTAATTGAGAACATTGAAAGAGTTTCAAAGATTTTACCCTATGTGCAACTCTGACTTTTATACCTTCAAAAAGCTCTTCCTATGACCTGTTGTTGTCATTGAAAATTCTATGGTTTCTTTCTTCACAAATAGTACACACCACAACTTCCCTTGGGGGTAGATTCAAGCCGAATACCTGCCTATTTGAGCTCGGCTCACCAAGATAATGTTCGGCTTGAGCTTGATTCGAGCTAGAGACTTGAGCCCAAATTCGACTCAGCACAAAAGCTCACAAGTTAGAGCTTGGCTCAGCTTGAGCTTGACTATGAGCTAAGCTTCCTATAAAAAATAAAAATTAAACATATAAGAATTATTTTTTATTTTGCATACAGAAAAATTGAGAATTATAAAAATAATTTATTATATAAATAAAAAATAAAAATATTATGTATAATATTTATAATTATATATAAAAAATAAAAAATATACATATAAAAATTGTTTTTATCTTATATACAAAAAAAAGAACTGTGAAACTTTTTTATTATTATATATATAATAAAAGTTATTTATTATATGTATGTTAGGCATGATTAGGCTTGCGAGCCTCATGAGTTGAGCTTCACTAGGCTTGAGCTTGGCTCGAAGCTCGGTTTCAACTGAGCTGAATCGAGCTTTTCATGAGCCGTGCTCGAATAGCTCGTGAAATGCTCAATTTGTTTCCACCCCTAACTGCCCTTATTGCCCTCCACATTATTCTTTCCCTTTTTTGGTTGTAGGGGGCACCCACCTATAAGTTATAACCAAGAGTAGAAAACTCCTAGGCACAAGATACAAGAAGATGGGGGATTAGTGGTGGATGGTTTCCTCACAAGCTTTGTATATTATTCGCGTATGAGGAGAGAGGCACATGTTAGGCCTCCTTTTCTGCAGCATGCCACAACTATTAATCTTTCCATGGAACACTTCCCAACATAAAGATTGAACTTTTTGGAGGGATAGTCTTGCACAAAATCTCTTTCATTGGGAAGTTCTCTCCCAAGGAATCTGAATGGATGACTAGGTCAAGAAAACTACTCAAGAAAAGGAGTCAACTGGGGTGAGAGCCCAAATTCTACCATCTTCCCAGTTGGATCCAAGAAGATTGTATCCAATTTGGCCAGTAAAAGGACAAGGGATTTGCATACATTATCCCTCAAACTCCTTTTGAAGCCCTTAAAGTTAACTTTTCTCAAAAAAAAAAAAAAAAAAAAACCCATCTGAAGCCTAAGTCTCAATTCAACCTAGAGGAGGAGGTTATTTGAAATCCATAGATTCAAACTTGTAGTTGGAAAGGGAGTAAAGTGAAAGGAGTTACAACTTGAGAGGCAAGTTACCAAACCACAGATCCTCCCAGAATAAGATTCTTGTCCTACAACCCACATCAAAATCAGTTAAGTTACGAAGAAAGGAAGGTAGTACCTCATGTATTGCTTTCCAGAGAGAAGTTGAATGCTCCCATTGGCCCTATGCCAAAGTCTATCCCTTGCAAGGGGAAATCTCTACAACCACTTACCTAGCAAAGCTATATATCTCTGAATCAGGTTCCTGGTACCATGCCAACTCTGTTCCTTGGATCTTTACACCTGCTCCCATTATACCAAATGATCCTTCTTTTTGTCCCCCCAGTTCCCATAAGAAATCCCTCATGTGTTTTTGCCTAACCATTTTTTCTGGGATATGAAACGTGGACAGGTAATAAATGGGTAAATTGGCTAGCATAAATTTATTTAAGGTCATCTTCCCTCCCATTGAAATGTAGTTGTTTTCCAAAGGGCCAATGCCTTAGCAAATTTCTCCAGGGCAGGTTCCCATAAGCCTTTTGCTCTCAGGTTGCACCCCAAAGGAAGTTTAAGGTACTCAAATGGCCAATTTTTGACCTCAGAACCTAGGATACCTGTGAACAATTGAGCCTCATCCTCTCCCAAGCTCCCAAATTCCTAATTCACCCTTATATTGGAAGCCCTTTGAAAGATAATGACCATGTCCTTTAGATTCCTCAAGACACCTTCATCACCCCCACCTTCCTTCAATTCATCTAAGTGTTGACAACTTGAGAATCACCTCCTGCTTTCAATCATTGGAAGTTCAATGAATACATGAGCTTCATTTAAGCTAAATTTTGAGACTCATTTCACTTTGTTTAGCACATACCAAAAACCATGTATGGAAAAGAGCTTTATGTACTTGAGGCTTATTATGAATAAGAACTTATGCATTTGTGAGACTGTAATTTCTTTTCATTTGTTAATTAGCATATTGAAAACCATGTATGCACAAGAGATGTTCTATTCATCATCTCTTGAGAAGCACATGGATGGAAAACAATATGTGATTTTGCTGATAATGTTTTCTCTAGGCGAAGGGATTGTTGTCTGAATATCAGCCAAAGTATAACAGTGCAAGGGCTGTCTATAGAGAGCGAAAGAAGTACATTGATGAAATTGATTGGAATATGCTTGCTGTACCCCCAACTGGTTCATACAAGGTGGGTTTTTAAATCACTCTCTCTCTCACATGTTAAGTGAGCACCCTAGGGTTGAAAATATGCACATGTGCAAATGTATTTTATATAATTTTTTTGGTTTCTCCGGATGACTTTATTTCTGACCTAGTCCTTCTGAGTTTTTCCACTTATCTTTGTCAGCATACACATTTCTGCCACACTCATTTTTTGTCATGTTATTTCTTGACTGCCCAAAACTTTGCTCCATACAGCATTGCTGTTTTATATACATTTTAACCTGAGTTGTATTTGTCTATCAAGTAAGACTCTGGATGCAGTCCTTTGTTTTTCCATCATGCTTTGATTCTATCATTCTATTGGCTACATCCTCTTCAATCTCTCCCTTATTATGAATTATTGAACCAAGGTAACAGAAGAGGTCACATTGAGTTCTCTCTTTTTCTCCAATTCCAAGTGTACCCTGATTTGAATTCCTATTTTTATTAAATTTAAATAGTGTATATTATATTTTGGTCTTATTATTTTAGTACCCTGATTTGCATATATGAGAAATCTAAGTGGTGTGCTTTGCTCGACAGGAAGAACAACAATGCATGGCCTGGAAAAGGTTATTAGCCTTTGAAAAGTAAGAATGCCATTATTTATTTTCTTCTTTCATAAGTGATATATTTGAGCAAATCAGATCTTTGGATTTTTCTGATAATTTTTGGGAATTGTTAGAGATAAAAAATTGTAATGTGAACCCGTTGGTCTAAACTGAAGTTGGATGTATGTTTTTCTTTGTTTGGGGTGTCATCTAGACACCTGATCAGCTTGTATCTGTTTTTGTTTTAATAAAATTTTTACTCTTATAAACTGAAGGTTGCCTTTGCCTTCTCCAGGTGTCTACTGGTCACTTACCTATGTACTTTTCTTTTCTATTAATGAAAATTTCTTTTTATTATAAAAAAGTGGGAAAATGATAAAGGGCATTGATATATTGTTTGCTAAGACCTGTTTCTCCAGAACTGTTATTTCCTTGAGTTTTGTGCATGGGAGTTGATTATGAATTGCCGTTTTGGTGATTCTGAGACACCAGGGAACATTTTGGCAATCTCCAATGCGATGTAGTGAAATTTAAATGATGTTTTACATTTTAAACCTGTAATTTTGATAGGTGAAATCCATAGGATTTTAAACGCCAAATCATCATTCTTCCTACCAAACATGTATGTACTAGAAGCCTTGCCACAATTTTTTTTGGTGTTGTTTTGCTGATTAAAGTAAAATGGCAATGCCAAGAAGCGTAGCCATGCCAAACACTTTCGGCATCAATGGGTTTTACTAGCAATAAGTGAAAATCAAGAATAGTACTTTTCTCATTAATCATACACAAGTAATATTCCTTCCCCATAAGTGAATATGGTTATACATTTCATATAAAGTTGACTTGAGATCTTCTAACTTTAAACTGATAATGATAACTTACTTTTCAGAGGGAATCCTCAAAGGATAGACAGTGCATCCTCTAATAGAAGAATTGCCTTTACATATGAGCAGGTATCAAAGAGGGGTGGTTAATTTAGTGCTTCTTGTGTCATTATTCTTCTTGGAAATAGTTAATCTCCAAAATTTGTCCTTGATTTTCTTGGAAATCAAAAATTCTGTTTGGGTCGAATATATTATTGAAGCTTACTTGTAGTTTGCATTGGATATTCTTGAATTTTCATCTTGAATAATCTGATTATTCATTCCTTGATCTGTGTAATAATTGTTTGAGCTCACATGCCTGAGTATTGATTTTGCATTTACTTTCAGTTTGAAATTGAACTTTGAACTGCTGGGGAATGTATTCCATTGTTCAACTTACGCACCTGTTGATATGTCTGTAATATCTGAGATGGCATAAATACAACAATCACAAATAAATTAGAAAAAGATGAAAATGCATTAACAAATGAAAAATTAGAAAAAAGAACAATAATATCTAAATCAGATAGTAACTTTTCTATGTCATGGAAAGATCTATTAACCATGCAAGCGTGCTTGAGTGATTAGTTGGTCTTGTCAACTATTTTGATCAAAGGATAGTTTTCGACTTAATACTTATAACTTTAGTCATAGTTCAGGGGTTAACATGTGGTTTTGCAGCAGTTGAAAGTCCAAATTGCTCAACCATCTAGTTATATCCAGGTTGACAAAGAATGCTTTTTTATTTGATGTTTTTGTTTCTTTGTACCATTTAGTTTCATTTTAAACACAACTAACCACTTCATGGGTTAGTGGCATTTATTCCCCTGTACTAAATTTTATTTTCCCTTGGGTGATAAAAGTTGTGACTTTTGTTGATTAGACTGGACAGCAGAATTGTTGGGATAAAAATTTTAAGGAAATCTTTGTGTAACATAATAAACTCTCAGACCTGAACCTGTGTTCTCATGCCTGTCAGCATGAGGTTTTACCATGACATCAAGCAAAGGCCCCTACAGTAACAGAAATATAGAGAATATAAATTTCTCTCTTGGGAGTGGTTTAAGGCCCATCTACCCCCTGAAATTGGTGGGACTTCGAAACACTGTGTATAGGGGTGTATCGGAGGGGTCCCGATATGACACTATTGGTGTATACACCCCGATACATGATGGAATTTTAATCCTTGGCCTTTTGTTCTTTTCTAAGAAGATATTTTATTAGGATGAATAAATGAACAACATTTGCAAATTGGAGGTAGGGATTACGAATTTAAGATCTAACATGGATTTGTTTGATCTTGCCTCAAGGGGCATCGCAATTTGGTATGAAGGTGGCTCGTTGGTTAAAGAATGCAAAATGTTTTGCATCACATTAACTATTTGAAGTAATGTAATTGGGGAAAAAGAGAGATTGAGGGTTTTGCATGCTTGAATATAGAAGAAAAACAGTCCAAAAGAATGAGAGGACTGATTTAAAAGGTGTGAAAGCAAGGTATATATCGACAGCAATGAGAGAAGAAGAGTTCGGCTGTAATAGGGTTTTGGAGAAGAGTTGTTCAATCCTCTCTCCCTTCCCTAATCTTTTCATTAAAAATAATTACAAATTTTCTGTAATTACAAGTAGGCCCTTAATTGGGTGATTAACTAGTTAAACAAGAAACATAAAGAAATATAAAGGTCCATTAACAAAAAGAATAGAAACATAAAGAAATAAGAACAGCCTATGGGCCATTCGGCCCATCCTCTCTTCACTCCCCCTCAAACTAAGCATAGATGTCAATCATTCCCAGCTTGCCACTGTCATGTTGTAGCTTGGCCTTGGAGATTCCCTTGGTAAGACTGTTACTGTTCTTCAGATGTAATGAATGGTAGACAAACTTCTCTAGAAGCCACTCTTTCTCTAATGAAATGTCTGTCAACTTCAATATGCTTAGTCTTATCATGTTGCACCAGATTGTGGACAATGTTGATCGTGGTCTGATTATCACAATATAGCATCAATGGCTTATCATACTCAACACTTACTTCCTCCATTAGGGATTGAAGCCAAAGTAACTCAGAAACCCCATGAGCCATAGCCCTGTACTCGGCCTTAGCTGAAAATCTAGCAGCAATAGATTGTTTCTTGCTTCTCCAAGAAACAATATTACCTGCCACCATGCTACAATATCCCGAAGCTGACCTCCTATCATCAATGTTGCTTGCCCAATTAACATCTGTATAAGCTTGCAGTTATATATGACCATGCTTAGCAAAAAGAATGCCCTTTCCAGGAGTACTCTGTCAGAGTTGATTCGAAAGTCAGAAAAGAGAGAGAGAGAGAAGAGAACACAGCCGAATGGTGGGTGTGACACCTTGTGTTAGTCGACACCCTAAAAGATATATTTATATTAAAAGGTAAAAGGACAAATTTACCCTTAATGTACAAGAGAAAGAGAGTACAAAGAATAGTTGTACAACAAAGAAGAGTAAAAGTACAAAAATATCCCTATGGCTAGATTTCACAATCTCTACATACTCTTCAAGGAACATAAAATCCGCTCTGCTACTGCCATATGAGTGTCTTTGGGAGCATGCATGAACTACCTAATGCAGCTAACAACATATGCAATGTTAGGCCGAGTCATATAAAGATATAGCAGTTTCCTTAGTAACCTTTGAAACACTCCCTTATCTTTCAACAGTTCTCCATCAAAGGCGGAAAGTTTGTGACTCATATCAATAGGAGTAGCCACTGGTCTTGCACCCATTTTGCTTGTTTCAGAGAGCAAGTCTAGCACATACTTGCGCCGAGAGATAAAGATTTCATCCTTAGACCGAGCCACTTCAATACCAAGGAAATACCTCAACTCCCCCAGATCTTTGATCTCAAACTTTGTATGAAGGAAGGATTTAAGATCATCAATCCCTGTCACATAGTGCCAGTCACTACAATATCATCAACATAGACTATGAGATATACCACCAATGAACCTCTCCTCTTCACAAAGAGGGTATGATTAGACTGAGTCTGTATGTAACCAAAGTTAACAAGACCAGCCCTAAACCTTTCAAACCACACCCTAGGCGACTGTTTGAGCCCATAGAGAGACTTTTTCAACTTGCACACTTTTCCCTCAATGTCTGTGCCATACATCCCTGGTGGGAGGGACATATAAACCTCCTCATGTAATTCTCCAATCAAGAATGCATTTTTCACATCCAAGTGATAAAGAGGCCTATCTGAATGAGTTGCCAAAGATAGCAGAATCTGCACAGATGTCATTTTCACAACAGGAGCAAAAGTCTCCAAATAGTCAATCCCATAAGTTTGTGTATAGCCTTTCGCAACCAATTGAGCTTTGTACCTCTCAATAGAGCCACCAACATGATATTTGATGGAATATACCCACTTACATCCCACTAACTCTTTCCCTTCAAGCAAATCAACCACTTCCCATGTGTCATTCTTGTGTAGAGCCTCTATTTCAGTTCTCATAGCATCATTCCATTTTGGAATAGTAAGAGCTTTTGATACAGACTTGGGTATAGGGTTAGAATTAAGAGAAGAAAGCCATAATATGAAGGAGAAAAAAGGCCATAGGAAAGATGTTTGGAAATGCAATGTGTAGTACACTTCTGTTTACCTTTCCTAATAGCAATAGGGACATCAAGATCTGGGAAGGGAGGCTGGCTGCAAGGGGGTGGTATCAGTACCTGTTGTCTCTTTAGTAACTGGAAGTGTAGGAGGCTCGTGTGATGTAGAGGAAACAATTTGCTCACTCCTGGTCCTTTGCCACTGGTACTACCTGTGATTAAAAAGAGGACAAGGAGGTAATGGAGGAGGAATAGGAATATTGGAAGGAGTAGGTGATGATTGTTCCCCCCTTGTCTCATTAGGAATAGAAGGAAACTCAAGTGGAGACTCAACAAGGACAGGAAGGGGGAGTGCAAACAACTGTGACAAATGCTCCCTTTGTGAACAATGCTCCCCTCGAGATGAACCATAGAAAGGAGTGGACTCAGCAAAAGTAACATCCATTGAAACATAACGAGTCTAGGTTCTAGGATCAAAATAGCAATAACCCTTCTGTGTGGAGGCATAACCAAGGAAGATGCACTTATGGGCCTTTGGTTCAAATTTATGTCTCTGGGTACTAGAAATGTGTACATAACAAGTGCAGCCAAAGACACGAAGGGGAATAAAAAAAGGTCCTTATCTGGATAAAGGTGGTTAAAAGCGGACTTAAAGCCCAACACTCTGAATGGCATACGATTGATTAGGTAGGTTGTAGTGAGAACAACGTCCCCCCAGAAGTAGTTGGATTGCCCCGAGGAGTTGGAGGAGGAGGCTGCACTCTCATGCTGATCATCCTCCCATACTTCTCATATTCTGCCTTCATAACAGCTAACTACTCAATAGCAGTCCTCTCATTTGTGAAACACCTGTCATTATCTGAGACTGTGGCTGTGTTGGCACTTCCTGACTTATCATTATCAGCCTTCTTTTGAAAACGAGGTGGAAGAAGTTCTGGATGTAGTTTCCAACATTTATCTTTTGTATGTTTGGGTTTCTTGCAGTACTCACATATAACCTCCTTCCTTGAACCACCTGAACTACCTATAGTCATCTTAGGTTTGAGTCCCATATTAGCAAAATGGTCATTTGGGATAGTCCCTTGAACTTGGACCAGCCTCCTGCTCTTTTCACTGCTCACCATGGCATAAGCCTAAGACAAAGATACATTATCCTTAGCTCGGATATTCTATCTGGTAATATCAAACTTTGGAATCAAAGACCCTATTCCTCTCAACTAATTTTCTGTATGTCTGAACATCGTTTGTGCTTTCCCAAACAACTGTTTCCATTAGATCTATCTCTTGCTACAAGGATTTCAGCATTGAGAAGTATACTGCTAAAGGTCTCTCCCCTTGCCTTAGATTATTCATATCACTCCTTAACTTATATGCCCTGGCCACATTTAGTTTTTGTGAATAGGTTTCAGCAACACTATCCCATATTTCCTCAGCTGAGGTCATCCATAAATAGTGTTGACTAATTTGTGGTTGCATCGAATGAACTAACCATCCAATAATTGTGTAATTCTCTTGCAACCATTTCTCATAAGATGGTTCATCTTTCGGTGGTGCTTTCTTGCTCCCGGAGATATACCCCTACTTGCCTCTACTACAAACATGTATCTTTACTGATTGTAACTATGCTAGATAGTTAGTCCCATCGAGCTTGACTGTGGTCACAACCAATAAAGAGTCTACAGGTGCTCCCGGAACCTGTCCGGACTCTGCGCCAAACTTATTCTCAACTCTAGAGACATCTATCTTTCTCAAACAACTCCAAAAGAACTTCAAACAACTTCAAATGATAAAAAAGAAGACAGGAAAAAGCAGACAACAAGTACCAACCTCTATGAAGTCTTTTTTGCCAACTGCGTCTCACCTGGAACTTGAGAGAAAAAGAAAATTGCAGCCACTCCCTGTAGGCTTCACAGATCTGCACAAGACTTGGATTGGTCTTCAAGATAAAGAAAGAGAACCCCTTCAGTCACTGAGTGCCAAGGTGAAACTCCCTGTGGGGCCCGCAATCAGAATTCTTCAGTTGATTAGGGTTTTGGGCAAAAAACTCCAAGGACTGTCAAAATAATGGACAAGACAACTTCCTTTTCTCGAAAAGACCACTACCAACTGGGCTGAATACTTTCTTCAATTACTCATTTGGTTCAGCTCTCCATACACACTGTGTATGGGAAGAAAAGGGAAAAAAGAAGAAGAAAAGAGCCCACTCTGATACCAAGAAGAAAAACAGTCCAAAAGAATGAGAGGACTGATTTAAAAGGTGTGAAAGCAATTTAGATATCAGCAGCGAAGAAAGAACAAGAAGAAAGAAGAAGAAGAAGAGTTCGGCTGTAATAGGGTTTTGGAGAAGAGTTGTTCAATCCTCTCTCCCTTCCCTATTCTTTTCATTAAAAATAATTACAAATTTTCTGTAATTACAAGTAGGCCCTTAATTGGGCGATTAACTAATTAAACAAGAAACATGAAGAAACATAAAGGCCCATTAACAAAAAGAATAGAAACATAAAGAAATAAGAACAGCCTATGGGCCATTCGGCCCATCCTCTCTACAAATATATTTTATATGTTTGGTTTATATTTTTAAATTTCCATTTTAATATGTTTTACATGTTATGTTCATGTCTTTTACTTTTAAATAATAGGTTTTTGAAAATATTTATTTGGAAAATAATTTCATATTTTAATTAATAGTATCTTTAGTATTGAATTTTTTTTTGTTTTTTTGAAAACCTTCATTTTTACGCCTTGCTTCAGAACAATGTTTTAAAATGTGGAGGCGTGACATGAGGCGTTCCACTACCTAGAGGTGTGAGGCGTAGTTCAAAATGTAAGAGGCATAAGCCTCCCAAACACAAGGAGGTGTAAGCCTCCTTAAGAGGAGAGGGAAGAGGGGGAAGGAGGAAGGGGAGGAGGAAGAAGAGGAAGGGGGATCTCATTTTTCTTTATTTTTCTGTTTTTTTATACGAGATGTGCATGAGGGGCATGGGGCGTATGCCTCTAGCACGTCTCACGAAAAAAGCATGTGAGGCGTACACCTCAGAGGTGTCAATGCCTCTGGCATATGCTTCATGGTGCTCTTGGATACTATTATATTCTTATTAAATTATTCAGTTTGTGAGTTAAAATATTAGTTTCTTTTTTACTATTTTCTTATTTTTCTGGGTTCACTCAACATGTATACTGTCTTGAACCCTAAAATACTTCAAAACCTGAAGTGATAAGCAAGAAAGAACTAAAAGTTTTGTCTACCCAAGAAATTATTATTATTTATTATCATCATAATCATTACCATTATTATTATTTTCTTCTTTTTCTTCTTCTTCTACGACAAAAATAGAGACTGAGCCCCTCTATTTTTTGAATTTTTTTTTTCTATCTTCATTTTTTCATGAATATGTTGATCTTCTATTTTTAAATGAAGTTATACATTTTTTTATGAAGATTATTTATCAAAAAAAAGATTATAGACAAATAATAGTGAAAGATGGTTGTTGTTATGAAACCAAGGGAATTACCCCAGTATACATGGTTTTTATTCAAAAAACCATCACCTAGGTGACTATCAACAAGGTGCTCCCTGTCACCTAGCCTCGCCTTGATGCCTTGAAAACTATGGAAAATAGATAAAGCATGGAATTTTGATGACAAGGTATCACCTCATACAAAGCACAAGGTCCTTAAAAAATGCCACCCCTAACTGACAAGGATCAATAAATTCAATCCATCACAACTACTTGGACAAACACAGAATACAACCGACAAAACACAAGAAGATACTACCATGACCGATCCAACCCATAGCAACTGCAAGAACCTCACCACCTTATCCAGTAATTCATTTCAATGTTCAGCTAACCCTTCTTCTACCTGAACTAATTTTCCCTCCCCAAAAAACCTTTCATGACTGAGAAGCTCTCCAATTCCTCACCTCATGCGAGCCTTCAATTAGCAAAGCCAAATAAGTAGGCCGTTGGCATGGTTTCTTCCCAATTTTATGCTTCATAGGTAACCGTAATCAGCTGGATTAAATAATTGACTCCAGACAGTATAATCACTGTATATAATCCTTCAAATCTTTCATTTACAAGGGAGCAAATCAGTTGAATTATACAACTAGGCTGTAGATAGTGTACTTCCCATGTTCTTCAGTGTTTTCAATCTTTAGTTGAAGCTATAGCCCATATTTTTTTTTTTGATAAATTGCTATAGCCCATAATTTGCCAAGCTGAATCTGTAGATTTATTTTTTGTTCTTTCTACTATCACTTTTATATTCATCTTCCTTTTGGGTAAAATGTAGCAGAAAGTATTCTGCTTCATGTATATGAGTGGGAGAAGTGGAGGAGGATACCATAAATTTTTTTGTATAAAAGGAAAGGGATGAAAAGCTGCCAGAATGGAAAAGAAGAAATGGTTTGTTTTTCTTTTTCCTGAAGTCCTTTAGTAAACTTGTAAAAAAAAGTTCTTTTGTAAACTTCTATACAAATTTTTTTCTTTTGCATTTTTAGTGGACATCCCAATCTATGTGGGTATTTCTCTCCCTCTCTTCTTTCTTCTGAGTTGTTTTAGTACAGCTGGATGCCACAGCCCCAAAAAGGAAGACAAACAGAATATATCTGAAGATTAAATGAGTCTTTCTTCTTTTGCATTTTCCTTCTGCCTGCATCTTTAATCTTTTCCTTTTATAAGAAACTGCTGGATTACTCACAATTATTTGTTCTGATATCCAGTGTCTGATGTATTTATATCATTACCCTGATATATGGTATGACTATGCTACGTGGCATGCAAAGACTGGTTCAATAGATTCTGCAATTAAGGTATTTCAGCGAGCTTTGAAGGCTTTACCTGGTAAGTGTGATTCTTCTTTTCCTTTGTGCCTCACTTTAATTTTTAGACATGTCAGTTTTAAATAAGTTTTTTCCTTTTATTGATCAATCAATTGGGCTCTAAAAAATTTATCCTAGCTATATGGTTAGCTCCATGAATTCTTTTATTCCATAGTTCCTCTATTTAGGGCCATATACTCTCTCAAGTTGTGTGTTCAGGCATAGATCCTTTCCGACTACCTCAATTCTTGTATTGCCATTCATTGATTTGACTATTAATAGACATGGTTTGAAATGTTGGTGTCAGTGGAAATATCAGTCATCCAAACATAAGAAACATGTTAGAAATGTTGGAAATGTCGTATGAAATGTCGTAAACATTATAGACATGGTGGAGTGGAAACATTGTGAAATATGCAGAAATATAGAATGGAATTTTATAAAATGTTAAAAGAAGCATAGGCACACCCTTTTAAATTATGAGCTTGTTCCAAAACATCAAATAAAGCTAGGAAGCTAAGGTTAATAGGCAAAACAATAAGCTGCAAAGTTGTCTTGTAAACTTCAAGAGTCAAAATTCCATAATGGAGTAAGTTCAAGCAAAATTTAAACTCATAGAAACTGCAAGTTGTTCTAGTAGATCACCAAATAATTTATTACACTAACAAAAACAAAGATTTAACTTCATGTCTGAAAAGAATTTTGAGCTGGCACAAAGTGATAATCATGTCCATTACGTGGGCAATAATACTTCTACTCCACATATCTACAATATTGTTCCCACATGTGCTCCGCATAGTATTGGTAGTTTTTACTGAGGAATATGTTGATTCCAGTAATATTTTGTGATGGTACCAATGTAAATGGAAATATGGCATAGAAATATTTATTTCAACAACTAATTATCAAAAAACAATATTTACTTCAACAACTAATTGTCAAAAAAAAAAATATTTACTTCAACAACTAATTGTCAAAAAAAAAATATTTACTTCAACAACTAATTGTCAAAAAAAAAAAATATTTACTTCAACAACTGGGGTAAGTTTTGAATCCCACTCCTATTCATTCAAATTTACAAATGACATAAAATGGGGTCTCTCCCTCCACTTGAATAAATTTTGGGTTGAAAAACTAGAGGCTAGTTCTTATGATTGACGCCCATGAGGTTGTGTTGCACTCAATGTTCTGAAAATTGTAATCATATATATATATATATATATATAACAAAACTTTCATTAATCAAACAGGATAATTAATTACACGGGGGCGGGGGGGGATAAACTCTCTTAACTCCCTAGCAGAGGCAAGAGCCCCCAACTGAACTTTATTTCCTTGTCCTTAACCAGCCATCTGAATTTTCTCCTTTCATTGTTGTAGTTCCATAAACCAGCCTTGTCTTCTTGCAGCCACCCTACCACCACCTCTGAATCCCTTTCAATTGCAAGCCTTCTAATGTTCATTTCCTTTGCTCTTTGGGTACCTTCCAAGACTGCAAAGATCTCAGCCCTAAGAGAGTCACCAACCCCAATTGGGCCTGAGAACAGAGCTGAAACAGTGCCATTCTCATCCCTAAATACACCCCCAATGCCAGACTGCTCAGGATTCCCTCTACTACTACCATCAAAGTTCATCTTTATAAATCTAGTGGTGGGAGGAGTCCAAGACAGACTTAGACTCGTTTTGACATGGGCACAGCTAGCGATCTCTTTCCATTTCCTCAGCAGATCATCTGCAGTAAAACCTGTAAATAGGTCCGAGAATTTCAGCCACTGAACGACCTTAATGCGAATCAGCTCTATCAAAATTTTGACACTTTCTTTCTTTTAGAGAAAAGTCTTGAGTTCCTTTCTTCCCAAACTGACCAGCACACCGCAGCCCTTAGGCATCTCCACATAATCCTGCCCCTCTGTAGATGCCACATGAAAAAAGAAGAGTAAAAGAGGCTTTGCACATCCATAGGGGGGTTCCACCCAAGCCGAAATAGGGAAAAGGCCCATTCCCAAATAGTTTTGGCAAACCGACAAGAAATCAAAAGGTGAAAACCAGTATCCCCATAAGCTTTACTGAGAATACACCTATGAGGGGATAAACATGTCTTGGGTCTCTTTCTTTGAAGCAGATCACTAGTGTTGATTCTATTCAGAAATGATTCCCAACAAAAACTCCCAACCCTAGGAGGAATTGGCTTGCACCAGGTCTCTTTAATAGGGAAAGATAACCCTACGGGGTTGTCTGGCTGCGTCAAGACTTTAAAGAAGGCGGCACAAGAGAAGGAACTTGAGGGGGTGGGGGTCCAAATTTTAGTGTCTTCCTTTGTGGGGTCCAAGAACATTTTCAAGAATACCTAGGAGAGCCAAAGTGCTGTTCAGGTCTATATCTCTAACAGTCCTTATCAAACCTAGATTTCATCCAAACCTAGAATTTGAGGATGAAGGGACAATGAAGGAAGATATGGGCTCATTTTTAAGGTCAGAGGGAGCATACAAAGACAGAAACTGGTCATTCAATGGGGAATTCCCTACCCAAGTCTGTTCCTAGAATTTTATGAGGTTGTTTGAGTTTAAATCATACCTGATCGAAGGGGAAAAGATAGGTAACATGTCATGGATGGCTTTCCAAGGTGAAGCACTTGTAGTCCTTGCCAGAATTCTAGCATCGCATCCATTATCCTCCAACCCATGAATGCTCACAACTATTTTAGCCTACAATTTCTCCTTCTCTAAAGATAATCTCTATAACCATTTCCTCAGTAAAGCCACATTCCTTTTCTAATGTTCCTAATCCCTAAACCTCCTAAGCTTTTGCTTCTAACCACCACCTCCCGCCCCACTCTATGGTCCCTCTTCTTATCTCCTGGCTTCCACAGAAAGTATCTCGTCATCTTTTCCAAACTATTAGACACCTTTGCTGAAATCTTGAACACTGATATGTAGTAGATGGGTAAATTGGCTAGGGTAGCCCTAATTAGTTTGATCCTCCCACTAAGAGAAAGATAGTTCTTTTTTCCAGGAAGCAAGTCTCTTCTCAAATCTTTCTACCACTGGATTCCAAAAACTATCTCTTTTAGGGTTGTCTCCCAAAGGTAAGCCTAGATAGCGTAAAGGTCAACTTGATAATGCACATTCCAATAGCTCCACACATTCCCTGATCTCCCCATCCTCCATGTTTACTCCCATTACACAACTCTTCTCAAAATTCACTTTAAGGTCGGGCATCTATTCAAAGAGTTATATTACCATTTTCAAGTTCCTGATCCATCTCAAATTTCCACCTTCATAGAAAAGTATCGTGTCATTTGCAAACTGTAAATGGATAAGTGGGATCTCCTCCCTTCCTAACCTCCAACCTCTTATTAAGTCCCTTGAATCTGCTTTATGAATGAATTGTCTCAGAACATTAGCAATCAAGGTAAACAAGAAGGGAGAGAGTGGATCTCCTTGTCTTATTCCCCTTATGGCTGGGATGAAGTCTACCACTGTCCCATTTACCAACACAGAGTAATGACAGTTCTTGACACAACCCATGATCCATATCATCCATTTACACCATCTTTCCCCAAACCCAAAATTATCCATCACTTCCTTCAAAAAGGACCAATCCACCAAATCATAAGCTTTTTCTAGGTCGAGTTTGCACACCAGTCCCTTCTTTTTGACCTTTTTAAAAATTTTCCATACTTTCATTGGCAATTAATATTTGATCAACTATACAGATTGTTTACCAAACTTATTGGTTTGAAATCTTTTGGATGAGAAGCATCCTTCTTCTTTGGGATTAGAGCAATAAAGGTGGAGTTCAGCGCAGGATTAATTATTCCCCTCCTATGAAATTCATCAAACACTAGCATTAGATCTCTCTCTAAGATTTCCCCACAATCTTGGTAAAAGGCCATTGTGAAACCATCTGGGCTTGGAGCTTTTGTTCTCTCCATAGAAAACACAACTTCCTTTATTTCCTCCACTTCAAACCTCCTTTCCAACCTTTTCCTATTTTCTGCCTCTAAATCTGGCCAATCCAACCCTTCTAACCATACCCTCCCAATTAAAGGCCTTTTGAAAATGGATTTAAAGTGATCAATAAAGGGCCTTTGCTATCTCATCTTGGTGGGTCAAAATTGACCCCACAACTTCCAATGTTGAGATGGAGCTCTGTCTTCTCCTACCATTTGCCACCATATGATAGAAGCCAGTATTTCTATCTCCCCCTTCAACCATTTGCAGCGAGATTTTTGTCTCCAGATAACTTCCTCCTTATATAGACAATCCTCCAGCTGCCTTCTCAATTCCCTTCTTTGTTCCTTGTCTCCCTCTTCACATCCTCCCCTTTCCTCTTTCATCAAGTTCTCAATCTGATCCATCAAATTTCTCTTTCTTTCTTCTAGTCTGCAAAACTCCAATATGTTCCACTCCCTAATCTTTGCTTTCAAGAATTGGAGTTTCTTATGGAACCTCATTCCTTCCCACGCCACTGAAGGATTACACTGGTCCCACCCATAGTTGTCAAGGCGCCCTTTGAGGCTTGCCTTGCCTAATCTCCAAGCAGCTTTGTACTATGTATTGTAAAATACTTTTTTATTCTTTATTTTTTGACATTATAATTATAAAATAGGCACTATTAAACTAAATGTTCATTTTGTGTGTTTATATACTAATTTCTTTTTATTATTTTCTTATTGTTGGGGTTTTATCAATACAAACATTGCTAATGCTCTATTGAACCCTCAAAGACTTTAAAACCTGAACCAATAAGTAAGGGAGAACTTAAAATTTTGTATACTATTACTACTACTATATTTTTTTAATTTTCTTTTCCTTCTTTTTCTTCTTATGAATATGTTGATTTTCTATATTTGATCATGAATTCTATACTTTTCTTATGAAAATTATGAATAATTATTAAGGAAATATGGCTATGGTACCTAGGGAACTTCCCTAGGATCTATGCTTTCTACATAAAAAAATCCATCGCCGAGGCGCCCACCTAGGCGACAAGGTGCCCCCCTGATGCCCAACCTCGCCTTGGTGCCTTGAAAACTATGGTCCCGCCATTCTCTGATTTTCTTAGTGAATCCTGGGTGTAGTAGCCACATGTTCTCAAATATAAACAGAACAGGTCCTCCACTCCTCCTTTCCTCCTTGCAAATCGCTATGGGCCAATTATCAGAAGTCTGTCTAGGAAGTGCCCTAGATGCTAAACTCCCCTAGTGTTCTTCCCAATCTGTTGAGAATAGGAACCTATCCAATTTTGAGCAAATCGGATTCACCCTCTGATTAGGGTTATTAGTTTTTTCTATGAACCTAACCACATTAAAATCCCCGCCCAAACACCAACGCCCTTCCCATAGTCCCCTAACATCACCCAATTCCTCCCACAGTTCCTCCCGTAGTTCAATGATATTGAGTATTTACCAATTAATTCCTCCATTCCCACAAGCACATCCCTCTTCCACATTGTTACAATTCCTCCTTAGGATCCCCAAGATGGAGCAGCCACCCAATTGATCCCCCTAGCACCACATCTGGGTTATACCTCTTAATCACCTCTTTGATCGTTGCTCTTTCCCTTGCACTCCCCAAACCCCTCACATTTCAGCTAAGAATCCTCATATTAACCTTTTCCTTTCTCCCCTCCTACTACTAGCCTTTACTTCACCCCTTTCCTCCTATCTCCTTCACTCCAAATTGCTTGTCACCTTCCACGTCTCTTTTCAGCCTCTCTACTTCACTCAATTTCCTCTTAAACAGTAAGGAGGTTTGAGTTGCAAATCATATGATGAATTGTATTGTACATCATAAGATTTTATTTTTTTATTTATCTAAGAGTTATCAAAAATATAAAAAGTAGAAATTCTATAAAATGGTAAAGTGTCTTTGCACCGACTTTCAGCCTATACTCATCATATAAGTATGTAGTAATGGTGAGGAAAGACCAGAACTGCTCTCTAATTTCTGTTGCTTCCTCAAATATTAGATATATTGACAATTAAGGCTTAAAGAATACTAAGGCAAAGGGATTGAACATAGAGAAAATGTATGCATGTGATAATAGAATTATTCAGGAACAAGTGTGTTATCTTCTGAGTCAACCAGGCGTTCATGTGTATATGAACTGAATAATTCAAGAATAATCATAAAGTTATTCTTATTCGTGTTACATAGTCCTTGATGTGTATATGTAACCATGCTGAAAGCCATAACATTTTTGGCAATCTCAGAATGGGGTGATAATGATGATTATTTGGTTTCTGACATTATAAGTAGACCAAAAAAATAAAGTATTAGATTCCATTAGAGAACACTCTGTATCATACTGAGATAGCCATAAAGGAGAACCAATTTCAACAACTAAAGAGTCATTGGTGCTAAAAGTACTGAGATTAACCAAAAAATATTACCATCAAAGTTCAGTTTTAGAACAAATAATCAAAGAGAAAGTGCTAAATTTTGTTACCTAAATCATCACATAAAGATTAAAAAAATATACACATTGGAAAAGTGGAAGAAAAATGTGAAATGGAGCCTCTTCTTTCATGTAACACAAAGGTCCCTAATGCATTTATCATGTTGAAACAGAGGAGAGGAACATGGGCCTGAATCCCTGTTCTCAAAGCATAAAAGAATGAGACAAAATGGGAGCAGAGTTCAAAGCACAAAAAAAGAAAAAAAAGAGAAGATGGGGCGCAGCCCCATCCAAGCATAAAGGAAGAAGATGCTTAAAAAAGTGAATTTACCTATTTGGTGACTGACATTCACACCCCTCGAGTTGGCCATTTCTCAGTGTTGGCCCCAGCTCTGTGGGGTCTTGGGAGGGGTGGACTTGATGCAGACCTAAAATTTGGCCTTTTTTGCACAAATTCGTTTCTCTCAGACTCAAAATCACATTCTCGCACATGTCAGCCAGCCTGAAATTTTACCATTACTATTTGAAACACTGTTCACATAAAATTACCTGATTTAACTTCAATTCATGATTGATGACTCGATTCAACTATGTGCTCATAAATCATATTACCCCCAAAAGTGATTTGATCGTGTAATTTGAACATTTCTAGCTGCAACTTGATTTGAATCACCTGGAAGGGCCTAAATGTTTAATACCATTTTTACTTTTTTGTTAGATTCTGAAGTTCTGAGGTATGCATATGCAGAACTAGAGGAATCCCGTGGAGCTATTCAGGTATAGGAAGTATGATATATTCCATTTTTTTGCATTTTTTTTGGCATTGTTGGCTTTTCTTCCTTTTGCTTTTTGAATTTTATTGTCTTTGGAATTGGCTTTCTGCAGCCTGCAAAGAAGATATATGAGAGCAGTTTGGCTAATGCTGTCAATGCAAATGCACTGGCACACATACAAGTAAGCCATGTTTGCTTTTCTATGACTTTTTGCATGCATTGAATAACTGCAAGTCTGCAACTATTATTTAGTGGGTTGGTAAAAGTGCTGAGCTCTTGTCTCTCTGAGGGGGCTACATTGTACATTTGCTCAACTTGTAGGTTGGATGAAGAGAGGAATTGGGGGGGGGGGGACTGGGGAGTTGTCCTTGGCTTTACTGGCATTGTGAAGGGGATGCTAGATCTCTAGTAGAGAGATTGAAGTGTAACAACCTCTGGGTTGTGTTCCCATCTCTGGTTTTCTTTTGATTTGCGCTGTTCAGGTGAGACCTATTCTATACCTAAGACATGGAAAGTTTGAAGTTTGAACATGTGCATTTAGGAATGTTTATTGATTCCACTTTTTTTTTTTCCGTCTATTATTATAGATGCATTTAATTACTAGTATCATGTTATATGTTTTTTTCTTAAATTCTCAATATATGATGTTGACTCTGCAGTTTATCCGTTTCCTAAGAAGAACTGAAGGAGTTGAAGCTGCTCGCAAGTACTTCTTAGATGCCCGCAAATCCCCGAACTGTACATATCATGTCTATGTTGCATACGCTATGATGACATTTTGTCTTGATAAAGACCCAAAGGTCATATGGTATTTAACTTCATTTTGCTTGTATTGTCAAAGTTATTTTCAATCTTTTCTCTGGATACATGTCATTGCTAAACCTGCATCAGAAATTGTAGTAGAAATCAGCAGAAATAAAAGTTGTAAGAAAAGGAAGAGAATGAAGAAGAGGTTTTGTGAAAGAGAAAGAAGAGAAAGATGGGAGAAAGAGAAGAGAGATCAATAATACTGGTTGGCCCTCTCTCATTAACTTTTATGCTTAAAGAAAAAACACATACAATGTCCAATCTACCCTTGATGGGGCGGGTACTGCTAACAACTTAAAAATAAACAAACAAATCAAACAAATAACAGGAAACACTCAGCACTCCCCCTCAAGTTGGGAGCAGTGTAGTTAAAGTCTTATGATTTCCGATACAATTCACAATTTGAATCATGAGTCCAAAGGATTTCGATTCAAATCTTATGTCTGAATCATTTTCTACAAAAATCTTACGATTTTTATTTGAATCCTATGATTTGATTCATAAATCTTATGATTTACGTGATTCTTGCAATTCATTGTGATTCGAATCAATTCAATTAAGAATTAGTTCTCTACTTTGTCGTTTTGTTTATTTATATTTAGTTTTTTTCAAGGGCGACTTGTTTTAAAGGCCTTACTAGAAATTGATTTATATATGCTATTTAAGAGCCTATATTGAGTTTATTTTCTATTATTTGTTGGATAAAGAGACATTATATGTGATTATTTGTCTTTCAAGTCAAACTTGATTGTATCATCTTAGACTTATATTGTAGAAGTAGTGAATTTTATTGGTTTAGGTACAAATATTTTAGATATGACTTAAAAATAATGTAGAACATTAAATTTTTTGAGCATTATCCACATTTTATATATATATATATATATATATAGCATTTTAGCATTATCCACATTTAATTTTTTGAGAAGTTTGTAAAAATAGAAATAATTTTGCGATTTACAATATGATTCACGAATCACGATTCGATATGATTCAACATTCTCTATGATTTATGATATGATTACGATTTTTAGAACATTGGTTGAGAGTAAATGTCACACATTCCCAACTAGTGTAGGTCATGTTCAAGCTTGCTCTTTGTAATCCCCTGGGTAAAGACATCAGCCAGTTGTGAGTTAGAAGAGACGTATGGTAGGCAGACTTCAGCTGTTACCCTCTCCTTTATGAAGTGTCTATCAATTTCGATATGCTTTGTCCTATCAGGCTTTATAGTGTTCACAACTCACAACATTCAGCAAAGAATCTACATTCCCTACTGGACCAACTCTGGATTCACTGTTCTGCTTTATTTTGACCATAGTTTGCTCCACTGATCAAGAAATGTCCAAAAACAGCATTTGGAAATCAAACAAAAACGAATGGGATGCAAAAGATGGGATTCACAACACTAGGGAAGTAAAATCTAAGGTTACACACAACCCTACTTGATAGAAATGGAGAAATATCAACTGCTGCTACTAGTGCCTTCAAAATTACCTGCAACCTGGATCGTTCTAAAACTGGTCCATAAAGAAAGCTCCCAAGCCCTGCGTGTCAATTTGATGAGGTGCCCTTGATCCTTGTCATTGATTTTTCTCTAGTCAGCTAGGATTTTTGGCCAAGTCTCCAAATACTATCTTCGGCACCCCAAAACTGATCTGAATCACTCCAAAACCTTTAACCGACCAGGCCACAGCAGTCATACACAGATTCTAATCTAGTGATCCCTAAACTCTTTGTATGGAAGTGTCTATGGCCAAAAGGAATTTTGGCCAAGTGCTCCAAAAACTCTTTACCTGGTCAAATATGCAAGAAAATGTCATAAGTTGCAGACTTGATAGGTTTCTGCATTCTAAGGATTGGATGGAAAGATTTCCCAACCTTTGCCAAGAACTTCGCGCAAGATGTACTTCAGATCATTGGCCTATTTTGCTGAACACAGAAAGAATTAATAAAAGAAAGACCCCTTTTAGACTAGAAAAATTCTGGTTATCTCACAAAGATTTCAGTAAAAAGGTTGCAGAATGGTGGGAAGATTGCAAAGTAGAGGGCTGGGCAGGTTTCAGGCTTCTACAGAAACTAAGCTCTAAAGAGAAACCTGAAAGTTTGGGGGAGAGAGGAATTTGAAGTTCTTGAAGAAGAGAAGAAAAGAGTTCTAATGGAGTTAGAGGAGTTGGACAACAGAGAACAAAATGGGACCCTTGATGCTTTAAACAGTAGTAGAAGAGAAGATTTAAGAAAGAATTGGGAACAACTGATCAGAAGAGAAGAAATTTACTGGAGACAAAGATCAAGAGTGAAATGGTTGAAAGAAGAAGATAATAATTCCAGATTTTTTCACACTTATGCCTCGGGAAGGAGTAGGAAAAACTTCATCTCCAAACTGAAATTGAACCAGAGGGAAGAGGAGAATCCTGAGGAAATTAAGGAATCTTTCCTCTCCTTCTTCAAAAGCCTTTACACCAAGGATAGTAATAACCAGTTTAGTTTGAGCAGATGGGAAGGCACGACTTTATCAGCTGAAAAGAGGGTTTGGTTGGAAAGAAGCTTTGAAGAGGAGGAAGTTAAAAAGGCAGTCTTCAGCATGGATGGAGATAGGGCTCCAGGACCGGATGGTTTTCCCATCTTTTTCTTCCAGCAGTGTTGGGAAATAGTAAAGTCAGATCTCATGGATATTTTCAGGGACTTTCACTGTTCATCCATTGTTAACAAAGGCCTAAACTCAACCTTTCTCTGCCTCATCCCAAAGAAAGGGGGAGTCCTGGAAACTAAAGACTTTAGACCAATAAGCTTGATAGGGAGCATCTATAAAATTTTGGTCAAGGTCTTGGCTAAAAGACTTAAAGAAGTCCTTGAAGATCTAATTTCCCCAAACCAATTTGCTTTCGGAAAAGGGAGGCAGATTGTGGACAGCATTCTAATTGCAAACGAGTGTGTGAAAGATAGAAAAACCTCTGGGAACCCGGCGGTCCTAGTGAAATTAGATCTGGAGAAGGCGTATGATAAAGTGGATTGGGACTGCATTTTAGATTGCTTGAAGATGAGAGGTTTTGGGAGCAGATGGATTAGGTGGATTAAGGGTTGCATTGGTTCTTCTTGGTTTTCTGTGTCGATAAATGGAGAAGCTAAAGGCTACTTTAAGGATAGTAGGGGTCTCAGACAAGGTTGCTCACTCTCCCCCTTTTTATTCACTTTAGTAGTGGACATCTTTAGCTACCTCTTCAATAAGGCTATGCTCCTCAACTTGGTTAAGGATTTGAAGTGGGTAGGGACAAGATTCACATTTCACACTTACAGTTTGCTGATGACATAATTTTGTTCTTGGATGCCTCCATAACCAACATCACAAACACTAAAAGGATAATTGAATATTTTGAACTTGTCACTGGTTTGAGGGTTAATTTTTGCAAAAGTTCTATAGTAGCTCTTGACTCTGTGGAAGTGGAACTTCTGGAGAGCCTCAAATCTTTGTTGGGGTGTAAAGAGGAGAGTCTTCCTATCTCATATCTAGGGATGCCTCTTGGAGGGAATCCAAATCTCTCAAATTTTGGAGACCAGTGGTGGAGAAATGTGAGAAAAAATTTTCATCTTGGAAGAAGTGTTATCTTTCGAAAGGGGGAAGGCTTACTCTCTTGAAGGCCTCCTTCGCAAATATGCTAGTCTATTTTACCTTTCAATCTTCCAGATTACAACCAAAATCAGAAATCAGATTGAGAAGCTTCAAAGGAACTTTCTTTGGGAAGGAGGGGAAAAGAGAAGTCACTTAGTCAGTTGGAAACAAGTTTGCAAGCTTAAAGAGGAAGGTGGCTTGGGAGTTGGGCACTTAAAAGAGAAAAATTCTTCTCTCTTAGGTAAATGACTGTGGAGGTTCTCTAATGAATCCAATGCTCTTTGGACAGCTTTCATCTCAAGAAAATATGGACCAAATGTAAATGGGTGGGATAGCAATCTCCATTTGAACAGGATAAAGTCCACAAATCCATGGAAAGGTATCATTTCCACCCATACTTCTTTCTTTCCTTTATAAGATATAAAGTGGTAAATGGCTCAAATAAAATTCTGGAAAGACCTTTGGTGGGGGAATCTACCCTTGCAGCCTCCTTCCCTAGACTATTAAACCTTACCCTTGACCAAGAAGCTACTATTTCTTCCTACCTTCCAGACCAAACTGTTGAGAAACACCCTAAAGCTTCGACTCAGAAGACCCCCAAGGGATTTGGAAATTTCTGAATTAATAGACTTAATTCAGACCCTTAAAGAAGCCTACATCTCCCCATCCAATTCTGACACCCGAATCTGGACCCTGCAACCCACTGGCGAATTCTCTTCCAAGTCTATGTTCAAGGTTTTGATTGCTGATGACCAACATTCCTCCTTTCCTTTTAAGATCTGGTGTAGCCACATCCCATCAAGAGTTTGTTTCTTTGTTTGGGAAGCTTGTCTCCAGAAATTAAACACTTGTGATCTCTTGCGAAAAAAAGTTTTTGGGAAGATTGTCCATCTCCCCTCATGTTTGTTTTTTATGCTTCAGCTAAGGTGAATCAGTAGATCACATTTTCCTTCTCTGCAAATTCACCCAAAAGATTTGGTTCCATTTCCTGAAAACGGCAGGTTACAGCTGGACTATACCAAAGCATGCTATGGACTTTCTACACCAATGGCAAGGTACAGGTTTAAGTAAAAGGGGTAAAGTTTATTGGCAATTAGTGTTACATGCACTGTTGTGGGGAGTGTGGGATGAAAGGAACAAGCGGCTCTTTGGCAACAAATTCAGCCCCTGGAGGAGCTAATTTCAGACATTTCTTACCTTTGCAACCTATGGACAGTGAACTCAGAACTGTTCAAAGGACTCTCAGTCAATGATCTCGGTAGAGATGCTTACCCCTTTCCATTTCTCCCTCACCTCCATCAATCATCCTCGAGATATCCTGAACCCATCAATGAAGGAAAGATGATCCTAAACTTCGATGGAAGTGCTTTAGGTAACCCTGGATTAGCTGGTATTGGAGGAACACTAAGGGATGAAAGGGGCAACATCTGCTGGACTTTTAGCGGTCCAATTGGTTTGGCAGATTTACAAAGGCTGGAGTAATGGCTGCTCTCACAGGAATTAGAATAATAAAAAGTTTGGGAATCCAAAATATAATCATTGCAGGTGAACTTTGAATACATATAATACAATTTTGACATAAATATTTAAATTCTTGTTTTCTTGCTCCAGAACTTTTAATATATATATATATATATAATACAATTTCTAATTTTAGAAATATGAGTAGAAATAATATTTAAAGCATCCTAAATACATAAATTTAAGATGTAACATGCACATCTGATATGAAATAATTTTCCATTTAAATATGATTTTAATTGAGATTTAAAATATTTATTGCTGAATCATTATTACTAGCATTATGAAAACTAATAGAAAATAATTTATTGTCAAATTCCATAAGCATGTAAAGTATTTAAAAATACTTGCAGCAATAGATGGGCCAGTATATTCATAAAAAAAAGTTGGGCCAGTATGTGGCCATTCAAGTCTTGTAAAACTTAAAATTCTTTTATTTAAAAGTCAATTTTCATCACTAAAATGATCGGTAGCACAAATATAACTCATGCTAAATTTAGAAGTCCAAATATCAGAAGTAATTGCAACTTTAGAATTGTTAGATCTTTGGTATGACTTTAGCAATCACATTTTCAAGGTTTTGCTATGACTAAACTTCTATGATATATAATTGTTAGATCTTTTAAGCTGATCAAATTGCCTGTTGCCATATAATTTATTATGGTATGCAAATTGTTTTATAATATATGATTTTTGGACATGTTTGTGTCATTGTTATCTCCCTGCAGGTTGCACACAATGTTTTTGAGGCAGGACTGAAGAGATTTATGCACGAACCTGGATACATTCTTGAGTATGTTCAATCCTTCAAAGATTTGGTAGACCATTGTCATCAGTAGTCATTATCCTTGCTTGTGCTGTCGCTTTTGCTTTTTCTTGATAAAATTCATTGGATCTCATAATGATACTGTTGTGTATGAGCATTTATTCTTGATAATATTCATTGCTTTGTCCTTACATAACGTTACAGGTATGCAGATTTTTTATGTCGCTTAAATGATGATAGAAATATTAGAGCCTTATTTGAGCGGGCATTGAGCTCACTTCCTCCAGAGGAATCAGTGGAGGTAATTTCTTTTCTGTTTTGTTTTGTTTAAATGTTATCTAAGTTAACCACTGATATTGGTATGGATAAAAGGAATGTATGCATGGAGAAAGAAATCTCTTTCCCAATGATTCCTGCACTCATGTATGTCATAATTCTTTTGTGATTGGAATTTTGGTTACTTTGACTCTCTTTAAAGCTATTTTCTTGTTTATCAGTATATTAGGAATAAAGTCAATTTTCTCGAAGGGTCGGTATTTTTCAGCCTTAATAGTGAAGCTTTAGAATTTTGAGAAATTGAAGTTATGATTATGCCATTTTTCCCTTCAGCCCATTTTTTTAGGGGTCATAATGTGTGTTTTAGGTGGTTTGGTCTCATTAAAGAGGTTATTGAGTTATTGTAGAGAACACTGATGTGGGCCCCACAGCTACGGTCCCACTGTGTTCGTAGGGTAGAAGATGTTCTAGTCTGCTTAGGGTTAGCTGTTGGTCATTTAGTTGTTTCAGTTGTTATTTATTTCAGTCTTATTTTTTGCTCTATTTGTTATGTAAAGACTAAGGGCAGATCT